GCGTGTGCTGCGTCGTTCGAGTGCGTGTGCTGCGTCGTTCGAGTGCATGTGCTGTGTCGTTCGAATCGAATGTGTGTGTGCATGCAGGTGACGTATGTGTCGGCGCATGACAACGAGACGCTCTTCGACATTGTAACCATCAAAGTACGACAAGCCCTGCCCCTCTTCTGCCTCACATGCTCCGCCCCTCACATGAGCGTCTCTCATTGTCGGGAGCATGCGTCTGCTGCGGTCCTCATGCACCGCCTACCCAGTCCACCCAATGCTTCTCTCTTCACAGCGCTCTCTGCGCTTTTGTTTTTCTCCGTTTTGACCTGCTGTCCATCCCTGCTCACCCCCCCCCCCAGCAGTGGCACCACAGCAGCACGTGTCGATGAACCGGGTGGCGATGGCGGTGGTGGGATGGAGGCAGGCAGGGCGTGCCGTTCATCCATGCAGGGCGCCTCTAGCCACCCTCCCTCCAGCCTAACATGCTCACCCCCACACTTCCTCCCCACCTTCCCACAGGCGGCGGCAGCGGTGGCTCCCCAGCAGCGTGTGGCGATGAACCGGGTGGCGATGGCGGTGGTGGCGTGGGGGCAGGGCGTGCCGTTCATCCATGCTGGCGACGACCTGCTGCGCTCCAAGTCGCTCGACCGGGACTCGTACAACTCGGGCGACTGGTTCAACCGGTGGGTGAGGAGCGCATTCTGTTAAAGCTGCTGTCAACCAGTGGGTGGGGAGGGTGAGAATCTACTTGAGTCCCAGCGAGCCAGGGTGTGGCGTTCGTCCATGCGGGGGAGGGCCTCCTGCGATCCCCTACAACTCACGCGACTGGTTCAACCGGTTCAACTGGTGAGTGCATGGGACCTGTGAGTCTATCTGCAGGGTCCCGCACTGCCGGCCGACAAAGACTTGTGCATCTTGGGTGACTGGCTCAACGCCAGTGCATAGGGTGCTGATCCCTGAGTCACTTCAAAGAGGCATGGGTACTGCTGCCTGGTTGACCAAGAGGCGCTCAGCTCTGGGGATTGGTTCACCCGGTCAGTGTGAGAAACATTCTGTTAAAGCCTGCTGTTTTTACAAGCCAATGAGGTGCAAACTCTGCTAAAGATGCTGTTTGAACTCAACTTATCAGTGTGCTTCATGCTGGTAAGGTAGAGGCACATTTGAAATGAAGGCTTCCTGTTTTGCACTGCAGCCCACCTGCCAGGGAGCGGGGGATGAGCAGCGTGGTGCAGTGTGGTGCAGTGCAGTGTGGTGCAGTGTGGTGCAGTGCAGTGTGGTGCAGTGACAGGCATGGTGAAGCTCAGAACATGAGCCCCTCAATGTGGTTCTGCGCCCCTCAATGTGGTTCTGCGCCCACTGATTCCGCGCTCTGCCCTTCCTGCCTGGCTTCCACTGCCCTCTCCCCCACCGATTCCCCACCCTTCCCCGGCCCCCGACTCTCCCCAACCCTTCTCCTGCCCTGCCCCCACCCGTCTGCCCCCACCCATCTGCCCCCACCCGTCTGCCCCCTCCCGTCTGCCACCTCCCGTCTGCCCCCACCCGTCTGCCCCCTCCCATCTGCCCCCACCCGTCTGCCCCCACCCGTCTGCCCCCTCCCGTCTGCCCCCACCCGTCTGCCCCCACCCGTCTGCCCCCACCCGTCTGCCCCCACCTGTGCATGCCCCTGGCAGGCTGGACTGGTCGGGCGCCACGAGCAACTTTGGCGTGGGGCTGCCACCGCATGAGAAGAACGGCGACAAATGGGACATGTGAGGGGGGGAGGTGTGGGGGGGGGGGGGGGACGCGGTGGTGAGGGGGGGGAAAAGGTTGAAGGTTGGTGCCTTGTAGTCTGGACTGGTCGGCGGCTACCAGCAATTTGGGGGTGGGGCTGCTACCATGTGGGAAGAATGGCGAGAAATGAGACATGTGAGGGGAGACGTGTGGTGGGTGGTCGGGCACCGGGCGAGGGGCCGGGTGAGGAGGGGGGATTGTGGGAAAGGGATGTGGAGAAGATGCTCTAGGGAGATGAGAGTTTGTTCAATCCCTCCTTATGAGGTTTTTGTAGGCATGGGGAAGGAGACATTCACCCTACTCGGGAAATAACTTAGACATGAGGGGTTGAGAGTTGAGAGTTGAGAGTTGAGAATTGAGAATTGAGAGTTGAGAATTGAGAGTTGAGAATTGAGAATTGAGAATTGAGAATTGAGAATTGAGAATTGAGAATTGAGAATTGAGAATTGAGAATTGAGAATTGAGAATTGAGAATTGAGAATTGAGAATTGAGAATTGAGAATTGAGAATGAGAATTGAGAATTGAGAATTGAGAATTGAGAATTGAGAATTGAGAATTGAGAATTGAGAATTGAGAATTGAGAATTGAGAATTGAGAATTGAGAATTGAGAATTGAGAATTGAGAATTGAGAATTGAGAATTGAGAATTGAGAATTGAGAATTGAGAATTGAGAATTGAGAATTGAGAATTGAGAATTGAGAATTGAGAATTGGATGAGAATTGAGAATTGAGAATTGAGAATTGAGAATTGAGAATTGAGAATTGAGAATTGAGAATTGAGAATTGAGAATTGAGAATTGAGAATTGAGAATTGAGAATTGAGAATTGAGAATTGAGAATTGAGAATTGAGAATTGAGAATTGAGAGAGCTCAGATGGATCCCTGCAGGTGTTTCTTCCCTCCCCTGCATGATGCATCCCTGTCTCTGTGCCCTCCCCCTGCTCGCTCACCCACCACACCACCCTCCTCTCAGGATGCGGCCTCTCCTCGCCAACCAATCACTGCGCCCCACGTCAGCGGACATTACCGCCACGTCGCACTACCTGCGCATGCTGCTGGCTGTGCGCTACTCCTCCCCGCTCTTCCGCCTGCCGTCCCTCGAGCTCGTTCAGGTAAGACTCAGGGAAGGTTGTTCAGGCAGGGAGTCAGACGGGTGTTGAGGCAGGGAGTGAGGGAGGTTCACGGGACAAGCTTCTCATTGGTAGAATTCAGCATGGAGCCAGCCTCTTTCACCCATTGGTGAAGAGGGCACACCGTCTGCTCTTCCCCATGAATTCCAACAGATTCCGTCTCTTGCAATAATCTCTTGCCTTGACTTGGGCCTTGCCAGCACCCCAGCCTTTCTTGCCTCCGCCCTCCCCGTGCCTCCGCCCACCCCGTGCGTCCACCCCCCCCCTCTCCTCAATCCATCCCATGCCCGCCCGCAGGAGCGAGTGCAGTTCCTTAATGCAGGCCCTGCAGCGCTGCCTGGAGTGATCGTCATGAGCGTGGCTGATGGCGACAGCGATTCCCCCATGGCGCAGCTCGACCACAGGTGAGAGCCCAGGCTCACCGGCACGCTAGAGGCTAGACCCATCCCCTGCCCTCACAGAGGAGCGAGTGCAGTTTCTCAACGTGGGCAGCACAGGGCTGCCTGGAGTGATATGGATGAGCGTGGCTGATGGCCGGACTGGTTTTGCCCATGGCACAGCTCGACCCCAGGTGAGATCCCAGGTGGCGCAGCTGGTTGCCAGGTGGAATCCCATATGGTACAGCTCTCGATCATCCCAGGTGGCACAGGTCGACCCCAGATGAAAAATTTCAAGTAGACCAACACGCTTGATGCTCAGCCTTGTTGCAGCTGATTGGACGGCAAGCTAGGCTCAGCTGATTGGACGGGAAGCTAGGCTCAGCTGATTGGACAGCAGGCTAGGCCCGGCTGAGCCACAACAGGACGCCGGCCACTTGGCTCAGCCACAGCAGCCTCCCCTTCTTTTGGGTGGGCCTTGGACGTCAGTGGCTGGTTGGTGTTGCTCGCCCACATTCACGACGATTATCTCGGCCAGATCTGACCCCATGACACTCACATGGAAAGTTATTGTTTTTGAGAAATCTCAAAAACAAAACACATCCCATGACACCCACGTGGAAAGTTATCACTCGCAGCATCACTTGGCATGGCCTTGACGGGGCGTATCGGCATGGCCCCTTGGGGGCATCAAATGGCATGACCTTGATGGGGGCATCACATAGGCATGGGCAATGGTAGGAGCAGGGCAGCGGGCAACAGGCTGACACTGTCACCATCTCGCCTGGGTGCCATCTGGGGATGCCTTTTGCAATGCGTCGTGATTTTTCCTCCCACGGCAGGTACCGCATGCTAGTGCTGGTCATCGCCATGCACGCCAGTGCTGGTCATCACCATGCACGCCAGTGCTGGTCATCACCATGCATGCTAGTGCTGGTCATCACCATGCACGCCAGTGCTGGTCATCACCATGCACGCCAGTGCTGGTCATCACCATGCACGCTAGTGTTGGTCATCACCATGCAGCCGCACCTCTTGACTCGACTCAAAAGGCACCTCGTTACAGTGCCACATGGCCTTTTCTCTGGGGGTGTCCTTTGGTGTGCATCTTGTTTTTCAGGCGCCTCAAAAACAGACTTCCGAGCATCTTGTTCTTTTCTTCGACGGCAGGTACCGCTCGCTGGTGGTGGTGATCAGCATGCACCCGCAGCCGTTCCTCCTGCACCTGCCTTCCCTGGTCGGACGGACTCTCGTGCCGCACCCACTACAGGTCAGCACCACTTGCATCTGTCTCTCCCCCATTCCCCTACTTCCTCCCCCTCCAGAATGTGTGATTCATTCTCGTCCACCTCCTTCAAATTCCCTCCCATTTCCAAGCTGTTTGCCCAGTCACTTCCCTGCGCCTCTCTGCACCCATCTGCACCCCACCGCAGGAGGAGCATGGCATGGTGCCATCGCACGCACATGTAGGTCCATGGTTCCAGGCAGATACTGCTATGCTCACTGTTCCACCCCTGGCTGCTCTCACACTCGTGGAGCCAAGGGACTGAGATGAGATGAGAACCTCATGCCGATGCTATGTAGCTACGCCCAGCCTGCATGCAGTATTTCAATACGCAGGACCATGTGTAGCCACCGGATTTGAGTAACTGTATTATTCTTTGTTTGGTTACAGCATGCTTATATACATCTTGAGACGACATTGTTAGCAACTGTTTTCATTGAATAAAATAATAAACTGCAAGGTGAATGCATCGTCTGGTTCAGTAGTAGCCACGAAATATCTTTGTGTGAGCTGTGCTGTGGTCGCTGCTGCTGCTGCTGCTGCTGCTGCTGTGCTGTGGTCACTGCTGCTGCTGCTGCTGCTGCTGCTGAGCTGTGGTCATGGAATCATCGCCCGGGCATGTCTTCATTCAGACGCAAGTGTGCGTTGTGTTCCCTCCACGTGCCCTGCGCACTCTCTTACTGTGCGCGCTCCGGGAGGCATGCCCTCCATGCATGTCTTCCATCTCTGCTCTCCATGACCTCACCCCCCCTGCCCGTACTGCTGTTCGCACTCCTCTCCCCCACCTACATCCTCCCTGGGGACCAGCATGTCAGTCGCTGCAGCATCCTCCCCTGCCGTCTCCCAGTCACCACCCTCTGCTCCCAACCTCCCTCCCGTGCCCTCCTCTCCCCCCCAGTGCACATGCCTCACCGGCCCTCCTCCCCCCTCTCCTGCCATCTCCTGCCCAACAGTCCCTTGTCCGTTCACATCCTTCCCTACCCTGCGTCCTGAACCCCCTCCTCCACCCCCCTCCCTCCCCTTCCCAGCACTAGCATCAGCACCCCTCCCTCTGCTACCAGCAGCACCAGCAGCCTCCCTTCCCCCTCCCCCAGCATCAGCTGCCAGCAGCAAAGGTCGGTTGGCCCGGCTCACAGCAGCCACGGCGGCCTGCGCCCTGAGGCTCTCCACCACCAGTCGCACGGCCTTCTGCCACCGCGCCCTCGGGTCCAACCTCCCTGCCCTCCTCCTCCTCTGCCCCTCCCTCGCCCCATGCCCCTCCCTCCGCTCCCCCTCCCTCCCGCCTTCCCGCCCTCCCTCCTCTCCCTCCCCACTCCTCTCCTCATGCTGCATGTCCTGATCAGTCGCCTCCCCTGTGTGCGCGCTGGGGTGCTGGTACAACTGCCTCACAGACTCCATAGCAGCCAGCATAGAAGCCAGATTCACCCGCTCAGTGGCCTCGGCCTGCTGCTGCACCGTGTCCCCCATGGCCAGGGCGTCCGGGTCCAGTGCCTCTAGGATGCGCGCCGCGCGGTCGCGGGCGGCCTGGGCGGCCTCCGGGGTGAGGGAGGCCAGGGAGGTGCGGGAGGAGAAGCGGCGGGAGAGGCGGAAGGAGGGCAGGCCGAAGTGGCCCCACGTGGTGACGCTGGCGTGGACTGGCTTGGCCTCGATTAAATTCGATCGTGTTATGAGACCCGCCTGCAGGAGGGGGGGGGGAGTGGTACACATGTGGGTATGTGGGGCTGCAGAAAGTGTGACTGTGAGGCACTGTGCAGGTGGCATGGTAGGGCATCGAATGGCATGGGATGGCATGTCGTGATGCTGGTGTGCACTGGCTTTGCTTTGATCAGGTTGTGTGTGTATGTGCTAGGCGTCGTGTGGATCATTGAGCTGGCGGGTGATGTGATGCCATAGTGCAGCATGGCACGGCATGGCATGGCATGGCATGGCATCGCATCGTGGATGGCATGGCGGATGGCACGGTGGATGGCACGGTGGATGGCACGGTGGATGGCACGGTGGATGGCACGGCGGATGGCACGGTGGATGGCACGGTGGATGGCATCGCATGGTGGATGGATGGCATGGCATGGCAAGACATGGTGGATGGCGTGGCATGTCATGGCATGGTGGATGGCACGCTTGGTGGCATCTCACCGGCTGGCCTGTGTTGTCCACCACACAGATGTATGTCAGGTTCAGCTGATGGCGGGGGATGGGGAAGGAGGGAAGGTCCAAGGGAGAAGCGTCAGTGTGGCAGCCGCAAGGTAGAGCCTAGAGCCACGAGATGTACCTCTTGTGGTAGAGCAAGAAAGTGAGTTGGAACATGACAGATGAGGGGATGAGGGCATGACAGATGAGGGCATGAGGGCATGGGAGCACCAGAGAACGAGGGACGCATGGCGCCTTGCACGGGGGCACTTGAACGGGGGCACTTGCACGGGGGCACTTGAACGGGGGCACTTGCACGGGGGCACTTGCACAGCATGTGTGTGCAGCGGGAAAGGCCATGGCAGGTGTGTGGCGGCCACCTTGCGCATGAGGGGGAAGACACGGAGGATGGGCGTGCAGTGGGCCACTTGGAAGGGGTACGGGTCCATGATCTCCGTCAGATCCAACAACACTTCAGCCTCGCCACTCATCGCAACCCCTCTGCCACTCACTTCCCCACTACTCCTCTCAGCTTCCCTCCCAACTCGTTCTTCCCCTTCTACCCTCTCCCCATCATCCTGTCTCTCCTCACCCCCTCCTTCCACCTCGTTTTCCTTCCCTCCTCCCTCCTCAATGCCCACCCCTGTGCTCGCTCCTCCTGCCCTTTCAGGGCTCTGCTCTCCTTTCAGCTGCTGCTGCTGCTGCTGCTGCTGCTGCTGCTGCTGCTGCTGCTGCTGCTGCTGCTGCTGCTGCTGCTGCTGCTGCTGCTGCTGGAAGGTTTCCACCGCCTGCGCCTCTGTGGCACAAGCACCTGAGGCATCACCAGAGGCAGCAGCAGTGTCAGCAGCAGCGCCAGCAGGCGCAGGCGAGAAGGCACCAAAAGCAGGAGGCCGAGGGGGGAGAGGGCTGTGACTGCCTGTGCTGTGGGGCTGCCCGCTCCTGCCATCTGCACTGTCTGCGGGGGCTCCTGCACGCCCGTACCCATACCCATAATAACCCAGCCCATGTGCTTGACCGTGCCCATATTCACGCACATGCCCCATTCGGTGTGCATGCCCACGATATGCATCAGTGCTGCACGCATGAGCACCCCGCCCACCCATGCCACCACCATGGGTGGACGACGCAGCAGAGCCAGCAGCACCACCACCACCAGCGCCAGCAGCAGCAGGGGCGCTGTGCAGCGAGGGAACTGCCGCCCAGAGCGCATCTTCTGCCGCCCACTGCTGGTCCGCGAGCCTGGCGTTGGTCTCCATGGCCATGAGCGTGCGGTCCAGCAGGCGCTCCTCCTCCTCGCGCCGCACCATGTCGCGCATGCACCGCTCCTCGCCCGTCTCACTGTCGTCGTGGCACGAGAGAATCTTCTGAGAAAGTTCCTCTGTGTACCGGTGGCCTCTTCTTCTTTCTCTTCTCACGCGCCGCTGTGCCTCTGTCTCCCACTCGTGGCTCTCCCCTTCTTCCTCCTCCTCCTCTTCTTCTTCTACGCCTTCCCCTTGTCTTTCATTCTCTCCCTCTTCTTCACCTGTCCTCCTGCCCTCCTCCATTCTCGCGTCCCCCCCCTCGTCTATCCCCACTCTCGCTCTCCTCTTCCACGGAGGTCGCTTCATGGCAGCACGCCAATGCAGCCCCACCAGCCGCACCCTTTCTCCCCCACTACCACCAGCACCACCAGCACCAGCATCACTGGGAGCACCACGCCGATCATTACCAGCAGCATCACTAGCACCAGCGCCTGTCCCGACTGCCGCAGCAGGAGCACCACCACCATCACCACCGGCACCAGCTACACCACCAGCGGCAGCCGCAGCAGCAGCAGCATCGCAGGTCTGGTTATGCGCAGCCAGCAGAGCGAGCAGCCTTGCGCGGCTGACCACCCCTTTGAGCCCCCCGTCCGCATCCACCACCATGAGCGCGGGGGAGAAACACCCCATGAGCGCCGCGCGGATGAGCGAGGGCGTCTCCATCTCCCTTAGCTGTGCAGTGTGGCGGTCCATGAGGTGGCGCGCCTGCAGCCCCGCATGGCGTGGGAGCGGCTTGTCCTGCAGGAAGGGGATCTTCTTGATGGAGAGAAGCACCTCGTCGTAGCTGCGGCCGAAGAACTGGGCGACTGCTTTGGCCACTGCAATGCTGCACAGGTGCATAAAGGGTTCGGTAGTAACGGAGGGGCAAGGGGAGGGATGTGACTTGTCCTGCAGGAAGGGGATCTTCTTGATCGAGAGGAGCACCTCGTTGTACCTGCGGCCGAAGGACTGGGTGGCTGCTTTGGCCACTGATATTCTGCACGGGTGCATGAGGGGGTTAAAAGGCAAGGGGGCAGGGATAGGAAGGGAGGGGGCTTGTCCTGCAGGAAGGGGATCGACTTGACCGCCAGGAGCACCTCATCGTAGCTGCGGCCGAAGAGCTGGGCGACGGCCTTGGCCACTGCTATTCTGCATGGGTGCATGAGGGGTCAGGCAGGGACGGAAGGGGTAAGGGAAGGGATGTGACTTGTCCAGCAGGAAGAGGTTTTGCTTGACTTGTCATTGCTGCAACCCAAGAGCTGGGCGATGCTATCCTGGGAGGGCCGAGAGGATGGGGAGGGAGAGGGAGAGGGAAGCTGATCTTCTTGATCGATAGCAGCACCGCGTCTTAGCTGCGACCAAACTGCTGGGCGACTGACTTGGCGACTGCTATGATGGGAGGGGGCAGAGGGTGGGGAAGATGGGGAAGTAGGGACAGAGACGAAAGGGTGGGCATGTCGATGTGGGGTTGGAGGGGGAGAGATGATGGGATGGAGCGCGAGAATTGGGAGGGCATGCGGCTGATGAGAAGGCGGCACCGGCACATCTGGCTTAATGTCATAACATGGGGTATCACTGCAGTGTCTGGACACACAGTATGGATGCTGCATAGAATGGTGCACCATGAATACCAGCGCATGGGTTAGCGTAACCTGGTTACCATGACATGGCAGCACGCACCCACAGAGGATGGGAAGAAGCAGGCTGATGTCTCCTGATGCCTCCATCAACATCACCTGCACACACAGGTTGACACACACATGCACACACTCTCACACACACATGCACACACTCTCTCACACACATGGACACACTCTCACACACACATGCACACACTCTCTCACACACATGGACACACTCTCTCACACACATGGACACACATGGACACACACAAACACACACACATACACACACATTCACACACATGGACACACACACACACACACACACATGGACGCACACGCACACACACACAGACGTGGACACACACACACACACACGGACGGACACACACACACACACACACACACACACACACACACACACACACACACACGGACATACACATGCACACACATGGACACACACACGCACACATACACACAAGTATGTGCTGGTGTCAGAACAGCAGCAGCCAATCACGCATGGAGGGCAGCAATAGCAGCAGAGCACTTCCAGCAGAGCAACCCCAGCAAAGCACTCACGGCAAGGGAGATGGTAAGGTGCGTGTACCCCGCGAGGCAAGCAGCGGAGCCCACGTGCGCATAGATGCTGGGCTGGGCGAACTGCTGCGGCCCCACAGCGTGCAGCGCCATGCCGTACAGCCGGCCCAGGCCCGCCCCGTACAGCAGCTGGGGGATGAACTGCCCGCTGGGCACCGCCAGGCCCGAGATGGCCGACGCGAGGAGGAAGTAGGCGAGGAGGAAGATGGCCACCACTGCTGCCGGGAAGACCCGGGAGGTGGCGCCCGCGGCGTCGCTGTCGCCCATGAGGTGCTTGACTGCGCCCTCCTCGCCGCGCAGGAAGAGCGTGGCCAGCTCGTTGTACTCGCCTGCAGGGCAGTCGTACTGCACCAGAACCACGTGCCCCTCTGCTCCCTCGCCGTGTGCCCCTGCCTCCGTGCCTGCTGCTGCTGCTGTTGCGCTCCCTGGATCACCTGCTGTTGCTGACGCACTTGCTGCTTTAAATTGCGGCACTAGTGCTGCTGATGGTGCTGATGCTCTCTGTTCTGCAAGCGTGGCAGATGACGTCGCTGAATGAGCAGCATGCCACGAGGGAGAGAAGGCCACGTGTGCAGTAGACGAGCCGTTGGAGCCATACGAGGGGGGAGCAGGGGGGGGAGCAGCGGGCGTGGTGGCGCTGTCACTGGGGAGGGAGATGCAGGGCGAGAGGGCGGGGATGAGGTGGAAGAGCAGCGACACCAGCAGCGCGCTCACAGCCGCGTCCACAATCTTCACAGCCTTGCGCCGCCGCCACGTCTCGGTCCGCCTCGCGCGCAGCACCCTGAGCGACAGTAGCGTGTACAGCCGGCTCAGCAGCCCGCCCAGCACGCCCAGCAGGAGGAAGGGGCCCACGTCCTTGGCAGTCCATGAGATGGTTACCGGGTTTAGAACGAAGAGGAGGAAGGCCTCGTAAGTGACTATACCGGCCATGGACTCCACGAGGAGGACTATAACGAGGGTGCTTATGGTGGCGGCGACGAACGACTTGAAGGTGGCTTCGGCGGACCAGAAGGTGGACACCTCCTCGAACATGAACAGCACGCCGCCGATGGGCGCTTTGAACGCCGCCGCCACGCCCGCCGCGCCGCCGTACGTCACGAACGCGCGCTGCTCGTCGCGATCCAGCCACGCCACCGCCGGCGCTCCGCCGCCGCTGCTAGGCTTTCCGCCGCGTGCGCCCGTTTCTCTGCGCGGTTTATTCGCGCGCTTCTTGCCTTGCGCGTCGCTGCGCGGGTGCGCGTGGAGGCCGATGAGCGGGAGGTGCACGAGCGCAACGGCGATCCCCGCGCCGATGTGCGCCATGGGCCCCTCGCGGCCCACGGGCATGCCCCCCGCCACCACGAGAATCAAGCCCAGGAACTTGACCACCGTCGTGCGCACCTCGAAGAACCCCGGGATGCTGTTTCCGTTAAGGAATCCCTTTATTTCGGGGACGCCGGAGCCGTTGGCGAGCGGCGCGACGTTGACGGTGAGGATCGCCGCGAGGCCGACCAGCGCGGCTTGGATGAGCGCCATGAAGAGTGACGCGAAGAAAACGCGGGAAAAGGGAGCGCGCCGGGTGTCGTGAACGTTGAGGAGCTTATCGTTGAGAGAGTAGAGGAGGTCGACGAACTCGACGACGACGGTGGCGAGCAGCCATGACAGCACTCCGATGGTGAGTCCCGCCAGCAGCACCAGCCCCCACAGCCGCAGCGACCGCACTCGGGACGCGGACTTCTCGTCGCGAAGCTTCTGGTCCGTTTCGCGGCCTGCTATCGCTGCTTCGGGCGCAAGGGCATCCGTGGAGGATCCCCTCTCGCGGCTGCCGTGTCTGCTCCGCCACAGGCGGAATCTCACCGCCATTGAGGAACGTCTCTTACGTTACTATCTGCTGGCACGAACTGTTGGTCGAAAGGCTCACATACGCAGAGCAGGTTCGCCGCTTCCATTGGTGCGAGAATGTCTGCGCAGACGGGTGGTCAGGCGGCGTGACGACGGCCTTGAGCTTCGTTCCCAAGGTATGTGTCGACATTCTCACGGGATTGCCTGGTTTGGGAGGGAAGGTGAAATCGGAGTTGTGCGCCGCCATGATCTTCCCAAGGGGGGTTGTTCAGTCGGGAAATGCGCGCTTGCTGTCATCTGCTGCGGCAGAACTCCCTATGTGCCCCAACCCAACGGTTGGCTGAATGAGCTCAGCCGCTTGGCTGTTTAGCAGCAATCAACGGATCAAGTTTTCTGGTTCAACCGCACGACAATGAGGAGCACTAAGGACCGTCGGATCCTTGCGAGACAAGGCGCAGCGCCTACTCGCCAGGGAGTCGCAGAGCATGCTTCTCAACTGGTAACTCTACGCTCGCGACAATCCTTCTCTCTCGTCAACCTCTCTGTGGTCCGACAGCCTGATGGTCAAACGCACTTCTGTGGACAGGTCATATATCTCCATCAGTGACACAGCTTCGCGTTCTTCGATAGCAGGGGAATCGAACAAAACATTGTTCACGTACAGTAATATAGTACAATGCAAGTGTAGAATCACCAAAAGAAAGCATCTTATTGAGCAACCCTCAGAAGGCTAGTAGTGCAGCACAGGCGACTGCCAGCAGCAGACGCAGCAGCACAGATGCTCCTCTACAGGTGCTTGACAGGGCAGCATCAGAGGCAGGAAGCCCAAAGGGCGATGCACCAGATCCACCTGCACTAGATGCGCCTCCCAGCACATTCAGCGCACCAGCATTTCCATTGGGGTTGTTATTATTGCCACCGGTGGCGGTGGGATTCGAAGAGGGGTCCGTGCTGCCAGGGCCCACAACTTGGGGGTTCAATGGCAGCACTGGGTTTTGCGAGGGCATACTGGCACTGGGGTTGCTTGTCCCGGTGTTCCCACCCATTCCAGGAAGGAGGGAGGCCAGCCAATCGGAGCTCTCTGGAAAGGCCTCTGCTGCATCGGCTGCAGCAGCGGCAGCATCGATTGGGTCTGGCCTCTGTCCTGGGGAGTGCAGGATCTGGGAGCCTGCAGAGTGGTGGTTGAGGAGGGGAGATGAAGAAAGCAGGCACAGTGAAGGAGAGTACGAGTAAGAAGGTTGAGGAAGTGGGTTTTCCAAGACGAATTGATGAGCATGTTACAGAGTGGAAGCAAGCATAAGCGCAGCATCATCCGAGACAGGAGAGGGAGGGAGGGAGGGTGAGAGGCTTGCACTGAGAGGGGAAGCCATTGCACGGTGTGTGCTGGTTTTCCGCATAAAGCTCCAATAGCAGAGAGACCCAAAGCCCCAAATTCTAACCCTTCATCCAGCAACCCAGCCCAGACTCTCGGACCCTGAATGAACCAGATTGATGTGACTCACATTGGGAGGGCAGCCAACGCACGATGTTGGCCTCCACATCAAACTCGATCAGCAGATTGCGCAGAGCGAGGTCTGCAGAGGGGTTGTAGGGGGTGGAGAGTGGTGGTGACGTGTTGTGAGTGGACGTTACTCCAGGACTCAGTGCTCAGAAGTACAGTACAGCAATGTGTTACAGAATGTAGTGCATGCAACGCAATGCGGAACGATACAGTACAGTGTAACCAGGACTAACCACCCAGAAGTGCAATCAGTACTGTACGAGAGAAAGCATAAGCGATGATAGAAACGGTTCTAGTGCAACAGTAGCAGTGCAATCCGGCACGAATTATTCAACACAGCACAATAGTACAGCAACCCAGGGCGTGCAATCATCCATTGTGGCTGTCTCTTACACCCCTGTCTCCTCTCTAACCACCTCAGTCCTCTCATCTCGCATCCCTGCTCTCACCCTCTCCGGTCCCATTGCCTTCCCTCCCTCCCTCCCCCCCTGCCCCCCCTCTCACCGCCCAGCACGGCCAGGGAGGAGTCGGAGCCCGCACTCTGCCACGCGATGCACGGCACCTCAAACCCCTGTGCACGAGGGAGGGAGAGGGGAGGAGGGCCAAATTGGGGAGCGAGGGGGTGGTGGGTGGGGGGGTTTCTTGAAGGTTGCTTTAGGGAAGATACGTGTTGGTGGGAGGATGGGTACTTGGGAGGAGGGGAGGTGGGAGGATGGGTACTTGAGAGGAGGGGAGGTGTGAGGATGGGTCCTTGGGAGGAGGGGAGGTGTGAGAATGGGTACTTGAGAGGAGGGGAGGTGTGAGGATGGATACTTGGGAGGAGGGGAGGTGTTAGGATGGGTACTTGGGAGGAGGGGAGGTGTGAGGATGGGTACTTGGGAGGAGGGGAGGTGTGAGGATGGGTACTTGGGAGGAGGGGAGGTGTGAGGATGGATACTTGGGAGGAGGGGAGGTGTTAGGATGGGTACTTGGGAGGAGGGGAGGTGTGAGAATGGGTACTTGGGAGGAGGGGAGGTGTGAGGATGGGTACTTGGGAGGAGGGGAGGTGTGAGGATGGATACTTGGGAGGAGGGGAGGTGTTAGGATGGGTACTTGGGAGGAGGGGAGGTGTGAGAATGGGTACTTGGGAGGAGGGGAGGTGTGAGGATGGGTACTTGGGAGGAAGGGAGGTGTGAGGATGGGTACTTGGGAGGAGGGGAGGTGTGAGGATGGGTACTTGGGAGGAGGGGAGGTGTGAGAATGGGTACTTGGGAGGAGGGGAGGTGTGAGGATGGGTACTTGGGAGGAGGGGAGGTGGGTGGGTGGGTTGTCTACAAGATGCGGGTGACCATGTGCGAGAGCATGGAGATGCATGCTGTGGGATGGCCTTCCGTCCTAGCGCAGCACGGCACATGCATGGACTGGCGTGGACTGGCATTTGTTGGTCATCATGAGGCTCAGCATGCCACGTCAGGCCGCATTGCATCATGCCACGTTCCAGATCATCCCAGCATCATGACACCATTCCACACACCACATCCCCATCACATCACGTGCCACGTGTCCATACAGCAGTGGTGGCGAGCAGCAGGATGTAATTCTCGGGCGGCAGCACCATGCGAGCCCCGTTGCCGAACGTGAGAGTCAGGTCGGGGAACAGGTAGCGCGCTCGGGGCCAGGGGAGCCTGGGGGGAAGGCAAAAAGGCAGAGGAGCCGTGAGAGGGTGGGATGAAGAGGGAGGGGGGGAAGGGGGAGGGGAGATCATTGAGAAAGAAGAGGGGGCCAAGAGGGCGGACTGATCTGTGAGGGGGGACCAAGGGAGTGAGGGAGGAGGAAGGGGAAGGCACGGGGGAGGGGGGAAGACGGGGAATGAAGCAAGAGCCAGAGCAAGCGAGCGAGAAAGGAGTTCAAGCAAGGGACGGGGGGGGGGAGGGAGGGGCGAAGGGGGGGCTGTACCTGCCGTCGCCCAGGTTGTAGCAGAAGTGGCCCTCCGTCTGCGCAAAGGCCAGCAGCGGCAGGTCGATGGCTTGAACCAACTGGAGGGGGGTTGCGGGAAAGGAGCAGAGGGAGTAGGCGGTGGAACGGTTATTGAACAGGCCATGCAGCGGTGGAGTGGGGCACAATGGGGTGGCACAACGTGTGAGTACACCCACCACAGCAGTGAGCGTGTGACAGAGGGTGGCTAGTGCGTGACACGCCACGACTGAATCACCATTTACCACAGAACAGTCGTGGCCACGACTGGGCCATCAACAAAGTGCAGTTCGAGCCATGCCTATGCGCATCAATCACCATCTAGTGGTAGCTATTTCCTACATCCAGGGGGGTGCGTGCACTCACGGCGGTGGTTAGCGTCTGGTAGAGCGAGTCCGGGAGGTCGTGAGATGCATGTCAACCACCATCTACTTGCAACTAATTACCAGCGCCAAGAGGGGGGGAGGGGTGGGGTGCGTGCACTCACGGCGGCAGTGAGCGCCTGGTAGAGCGAGTCCGGCAGGTATGTGAGAGACGTGCCGCTGTCCAACACGCATGGCACCAGACCTGCTGCCGAGCCTCCTGCAGATGCCGAGCCTGAAGCATTGCCTGCTGTAGCAGCGAACGAGCTGGTTTGGGGGGTGGCAGCAGCAGCAGCAGCAGCAGCAGCAATGGCGGCATCTCTGGCAGCAGTGGCATCAGCAGCAGAGGCGGCAGGGGCGGCAGGTTGCCAGGCGAGGGGCACACCGGCGATGGCGATGCCTGCCAGGCCGATGATGTACTGCGTGCTGCAGGGGTGGGGGCGGACGGGGCGCAGGTACGAGGAGGAAGTGGGTTCTTGAGACGCCGCACAAGTCGTGCGTGTGGGGGAGAGGAGGCAGGAGCTTCGCAGAAGTACATGTGGTGGGGGGGATGGGGGTAGCAGGGGAGCAGATGAACAGGGGAGAAGGCGGCCGTGGAGGGTTGTGGGGCAATTTGTAGGCGGGGCGGGCGGGGCGTGTGGCAGCAGACGGAGCTGTCCACCGGAGCAGTGGGGAGACTCACCGTGGTGGTGCCGCACTGACTGCGTTTGCACTCACCTTGGATGCCGTGCATGCTTGGCTCGTACCCACGGTTACATCAATGCAACGACAGCTTGAGAGAGAGAGAAGCGGGGGAGGGGGGGGGGGGGGGGGGGGGGGAGGGGAGGGGGGGCAACAGAGAGGAAGAGGAGTGAACGGGTGAGCCCCCACCTGTCTGGTTTATCCCACAGCTCCGTCTGCTGCCACACGCCCCGCACGCCCCTCAGCGCGCTCGCGGACGAAACTCGCCCCAGGAACAGCGCGCCCCCACCCTCCGGCCCGCCCAAGCAGTGCGCGAACGCGTGGGGGAGCGCGTGCTGCGCGCCGAGCTGCGCCAGCAGCGATGACGCCCCGCGGCCGAGCCCCAGGACGCCGTCCACTGTCAGCGGGCCGTCTAGCAGGTTGCCGGACTGGTTGAACCCGCACCCGAACGTGACGACCGGCCGGTACTTCGTGCCGTTAGCAGAGGTGTTGCCGCCGCTTCCCTGCGCTCCATCCCCGCTATGAGCAGCCCCGTCGCCGCCGCCGCCACCCGGCGAGGCCGCACTCTGACCCGGTTCTTCCTGGTTAATCCTTCGCGGCTCCACGATATTCAACTCGCCACTTTCGCCAGCCGCCTGGTTACCACTCGCCCTCGCAACCGCACCCACTGAGCTATCACCACCAGCAATCCCTGCGCCAGCTGCACCTCCCCCACCTCCCCCACCTCCTCCTGGCAGCGGCTCACTGGCGGTCCACGGCAGGTGGAGCACGTCCTTCATGAGCACGCCCACTGACGCGCTGCCGTCCGCGTACCGCAGCATGTACAGGCACGTGCCGGCCGGCACGCCGGCCGCCGCCGCGACGGCCGGCGCGGGGCAGCCGCGGAGGACGTTGTCGGAGAGGTGGTAGCGCGGGCAGGCGGGCGTGGCGCACGGGAGGAGACGGTTGGTGACGGAGAGCGACGCGTTGAAGGGCGGGTTGAGCGGCTGGGGAGGGCACGGGGAGGGCACGGGGTGGGCACGGGGTGGGCACGGGGAGGGGACGGGGAGGGCACGGGGTGGGCACGGGGAGGGCACGGGGTGGGCACGGGGAGGGCACGGGGTGGGCACGGGGAGGGCACGGGGTGGGCACGGGGAGGGCACGGGGTGGGCACAGGGAGGGCACGGGGTGGGCACAGGGAGGGCACGGGGTGGGCACAGGGAGGGGGGGACAGGGAGGGAATAGAACGGAGGGGGAAGTGGAGGGTGCAGCTTGAGAGTTGACTGCGGACAGGCGGGCGTGGCGCACGGGAGGAGGTGATAGCGACGCGTTGACCGGCGGATTGAACGGTTGGAGGGAATGGAGGCGCGGAAAGGCGCGGGAGGTGGGGATAGGGAAGTCTGAGGGGAAAGAATTATCGCCCACAGCGAGATTTTCTCAAACGCAACCCTTACAACAGGGCCGTGTAGGGTTCTCACCGCGACTTGCGAGCGCGTGGCGCATTTGAGGCACGGCTGGCAGGCGACCCAGAGCAGGTCGCTGCCCGTGTCGACCTGCACGTTGAACAGCTGCGGGGGCGAGCCCAGCGCCACCGACGCGAAGTACAGGCTGGGAGAGGATGGGAGGGAGGGAGAGGGAGATGGATGTATGGTGGTGTGGGCGCCTCAAAACGGTCCCAGAGCAGGTCGCTGCCCGCGCCCACCTGCATGGTAAAGGCCTGCGGAAGTACAGGCTGGAGGGGGGAACGGGAAAAGGGGGGAAGGGCGGCCAGGAGGGAGGGGGTGGGGGGGGAACGGTGGGGTGGAGGGGGGTTGGAGGGGGAAGGAAGAGGAAGAGGAGGCGGAGTGACAGGGTGGAAATTTGAGAAAGGTTTTGCATTGCTGGTTGCGTACTCGATTGGAGAGTACGCCGTCGAGAGTCGGGTGCTCACCCGGCTATCTGCGGATCCGCGTTCCCGACGAGCCTGAACACCACCTCCTCGTCGCCCTCTTTTTGGTGTATTTTGAGCCGACTCAAAGTACGTCCTGCACTCACTCGGCTATCTGCGACACCGTTGGGAGTCAGCCACTCACCCAGCTATCTGCGGGTCCGCGTTCCCGACGAGCCCGAACACCACCTCCTCGTCGCCCTCGCTCTGCAGCCGCCTGTTGCCGCGTCGAACGCGCCGCAAGTCGCGCTGCACCGCCGCCATGTGCGCGTCCCATCGAACGGTAACGAGCCCGCCGTGCGTCGATCCGTGTCCTCCATATCGGAACTTGTGTGTCAAAGGAAAAGCCAAGGGTTGAGGATGCCTTGCGCTATGATGCGCCGGAAAACCTTCGGGTTTTGAGTACTGGTGAAGGTAGTCCTGATTTTCAAAGGTTGTCGCGCCGGTGTCCGCTCTATCTGGGATGCTTTCCCGAGAGAATAGGGAGGAGCTGAATTCTATGGCTGCTGCAGAAGTGGCGAGCAAGGCGCATGCGAGGACTGGCAATATGTGAGCTGGCAACGCCATGGGGAGGAACGCAGATGAAAGCGAGAAGACGCCATCACCATCTGCTATTTGTCACAGTAGCGGGCCTTGGAATTTGCACAGCAGCTGGTTGTGCATCAGGACGATTAGCCATGTAGTAAAGCGGCTCGACGGCAACAGTGGCGAAGGCGCGATTTAGCTTATCACTAGTGCGGATAGCTCTATTCTCAAATATGACGCTAAGTTTTGCAGATCCTTTGACAGGTGACAGGTTTGTGGTGTATTGGTGCTAGGAAGCTAGCAGAGGAGCTAAGCTGGGCTGATATGCAATCTAGGTGACAAAATCAAGGTGAGGGACGGGGCGGCTCGTGATTTTGATTTCACGACTTCTCTTGTTTTGCTCGCTGCTTTTGATGACCACACTTGCCCACCACTGAGTCACTGACGCAACCTCGATTTCGCCGTCTGCGATTGTTAGTCGCGAGAAATGTCGCAGGACGATGCAAGGTCGGCCCACGGGCATGCGATACAAGTAAACACCAATGGGGCCTGTTTTGGGCCGTCGTCTATTTTGCTTGGCTTGGTCCAGTGAATGTCGTCGATGCGTCGCCCCTTATCGTGCGATGAAACTCCGTCGCCATCACTGTGTTCAGGGCTGGGTGGAGCAGGCTCCACGGAAAGGCTTGCAGCTTGGCATGCGGCGAAGGGCATGACGACGACACAAGTCGTGCGAACCCTGAAGGGCCGCACGATTGGTCGTTCAGGGAAAGCGCGGCTCCAGGATGTTGAACTCTGTTGTATCACAATTCCGAGGAGCTAGCGACTCGAAGAATTGCGACACATAGCCCAAATGACTACATTGTATTAAAGGGACATATAAGTATCAACGCACCTATTGTTGTTCCTATTGCTGCTATCATATCTTCTTTGAAATTGTATATTGATGATAGAGATTTTGCAGTAGATGCACATGCTGTTTCAAACCCCGCATGCATTAGATGCCAATCGATGTATACATATTTGCAACAGACTCTCCATATCAACTTACGATTGTAGTTCATAATTCAAAAGTCAACTAGTAGTATATGATAATATAAGAAGCCACATTTATCTCTGTTGAGTGGTGGTGGTCAATTTGTACATCAAGTCTCCACCTCCACATGTTGTTTATTCTCATGCACACGGTATTTTCTCAACTCGGCCAGCACTGCGTCCTTCTGCTGCTGCAACCTCTTTTGCTGCTGATGCAGCTCCGCAACTCTCCCTGATGCTTCCGCCACCCTCCTCGACAGCGAACTATGTTCCACCCTCAGCTTCGCAGCCTGTGAGAGAGGGGTTCGAGTGGCAGGGCAGGAAGGGATAATGTGAGGGAGCGAAGGCAGCAGCAGTGGTTCTGATGGAGAGGAATGATTGATGGAGGAACCTGCTGTTCAAAGAGCCGCATCCATCACATGCTTGCAACATTTCCTCACGGTTACCTTCCCATTATGGAACATGACTTGCAGCCATCCCATCACACACATGCACCCCACAGGCAAATAAACAGTAAATGCACGCCCACTACTCCAGTCTGCAGCCAGTCTCACTCAACTCACAGCCAGTCCAGCCTGACTCACATCCAGTCCAGCCTGACTCACATCCAGTCCAGCCTGACTCACATCCAGTCCAGCCCGACTCACATCCAGTGCAGCCCGACTCACATCCAGTCAGCCTGACTCACATCCAGTGCAGCCTGACTCAGTCCAGCCTGACTCACATCCAGTGCAGCCCGACTCACATCCAGTGCAGCCCGACTCACATCCAGTGCAGCCTGACTCACATCCAGTCCAGACTGACTCACATCCAGTCCAGCCTGACTCACATCCAGTCCAGCCTGACTCACATCCAGTCCAGCCTGACTCACATCCAGTCCAGCCTGACTCACATCCAGTCCAGCCTGACTCACATCTAGTCCAGCCTGACTCACATCCAGTCCAGCCTGACTCACATCCAGTGCAGCCCGACTCACATCCAGTGCAGCCCAACTCACATCCAGTGCAGCCTGACTCACATCCAGTCCAGCCTGACTCACATCCAGTCCAGCCTGACTCACATCCAGTCCAGCCTGACTCACATCCAGTCCAGCCTGACTCACATCCAGTCCAGACTGACTCACATCCAGTCCAGCCTGACTCACATCCAGTCCAGCCTGACTCACATCCAGTCCAGCCTGACTCACATCCAGTCCAGCCTGACTCACATCCAGTGCAGCCCGACTCACATCCAGTGCAGCCCGACTCACATCCAGTGCAGCCTGACTCACATCCAGTCCAGCCTGACTCACATCCAGTCCAGCCTGACTCACATCCAGTCCAGCCTGACTCACATCCAGTCCAGCCTGACTCACATCCATTGCAGCCCGACTCACATCCAGTGCAGCCCGACTCACATCCAGTGCAGCCTGACTCACATCCAGTCCAGCCTGACTCACATCCAGTCCAGCCTGACTCACATCCATTTCCAGTTTCTCCAGCAGCTGCTGCCTGCGATGCCGACTGCGCTTGGCGGACTCGCGATTCGACACCATCCTGCCAGGCGAACGGACCAATGATTGGGAAAGGGGAAAAAACTAAGGGGCCAACAGGGGGAGATGCTCGTCTGGGAAGACGCCAGGTGGAAGGAAAGAATAGAAAAGAAGCAGATAGAAGCAGATAGAAGCAGATAGAAGCAGGTAGAAGCAGATAAAAGAAGATAGAAGCAAGAAACACGAACGAAGCAGTGCCGGCCAAGGCACTCGGCGCGCACGGACCTTCTCTGCTTGCGATCATCGGCCGCATCATCATCCCCATCGCCCATCGTCCCCTTGCCGCCCTCCGCCCCATGCCCCCCAACGCTGCTCCCTTCCCCGCCTGCGCCCACTGCCGGCACACCAGCGCCTGCAGCTGCAAGCACAGGGCTGCCCCTGAGAGCGTTGCTGCCGCTCGCTCTGTTCACCTGCCCCTCGGCACCAGCACCAGCCGCACCCACTCCCTGCATGGCGATACTATCACCGGCAGTTCCGAAGGCAGTGGCAGGGGGAGCAGCAGCAGTAGCGGTGGCGGCGGGCAGTGCAGTGGTGAAAGGGAGCTCGTGGTTCGATGGGAGTACGGCGGCGGGCCTCGGTGGATGGGTAAAGGGAGAGGCGGGGGGGTGCAGAGAAGAAGGGAGGGGGGCCTGGGTTGGGGTCTGGGTGGCGGAAGGTTGGGGCAGGGGAGGGGGCTGGGATAGGGTCTGGGTAGAGGAGGGCTGGGGAAGCAGGTGCTGCCAGGGCAGGGGCAGGAAGGCAGCAGCAGGGAGTGTTTTTTGAGGCGCCTCAAAAATCGGCAGGAAGGCAGCAGCAGGGAGTGCGACCGGGGGAGGCAGACAAGAAAGCGGAACATCTGCTGCTGCTGGTTCCGCTGGTGCTGCTGGTGTTGCTGCTGGTGCTGCTGCGTCGCTTGCATCCCCATCCGACCCCTCCACGTGGAATCTGCGCAGCAGTTGCGTCCCCTGCTGCGGCTCCTGGAAGTTGTATTCACGTTCCCCTGTCACTCCGCCACCCATCGTGCCGCCACCCGTTCTTCCGCCACCCGTCAATCCGCCACCTGTCGTTCCGCCAGCCGTCGTTCCGCCACTCGTCATTCCGCCACCCGTGACTCCGCCACCCGTGATTCCGCCACCCGTGATTCCGCCACCAGTCATTCCGCAACCCGTGATTCCGCCACCCGTGATTCCGCCAGGTCCACCAACCCATGCACTCTCCAGTAGCACCGCGCCAGCCGCCGTGTTCCCTTCCGCGGCGCTGTCAACCCCCTCGCGCGTTCCGCCTGCGCCGGACATCCCTGCAGCGTATTCCGCCGCTGTTCCGCCCGTACCTGCGCGTTCCGGAGAGCGCGCATTTGCGCTTGATTCCTCGGCCACAAGCGCGCGGGACGGCGCAGCAGCGATGGCGGGGTCGGCGTGAAATACGGAGGGGAGCGGTTCGGCGTGGGGGATAAACGACTGGGGCGTCGTGTGAGGACGCGCCGCCTGCAGACGCGGTGTGGAGTACCAAGGCTGCTGATGCGGCTGCTGCGGCTGCTCCGGCTGCTGCGCCTGCTGCGGCGGCTGCTGCTCGTCGAACAGCTGCTGCCACTGCCTCAGCTGACCGCCGCCACCATGATGGGACGCATTTTTTGATTCCGTCAACTCGACCGGCCGCCGTCTCCTCGCCGGCCACTCATGGCACGTCATAGCATCGCCGCTTGGCTTCCACACCGTCTCCTCGTCGCCCCGCTTTCGCTTCCCCACCGCCCACTGCTGCTCGTCGTGCCGCACCTCCCGCTGTTCGTGCCGAGCCTCCCGCTGCTCTGTAGCAGCGAATGCGGCGGCGAAAGGAGCACCGCCCGCGGCACGAGCAGGAGCGGCGACGAGGAAGTGGGTGGGTGGGGAAACAAAAGGAGACACCCTGTCCGACACGAACGGTCCTTTTCCCGCCGGTGGCGGTAAATGTCGCCCCAGCATCACAGGAAAGTCGGTAGCGCAAGGGTCCGCCGCGGCGATGCTGGGAGAAAAGACGTGACGACATGACGATTCGCATGATGTTCCGACTCCCAGAACAGACTTCGCAGGGAGTACGCCCCTCGGGGTACTCTTCAACGAGCCGCGCCAAGGGTCGCAGCTGTTGCTGATGCGCGTTCCGCCGGTTCTTCCACGACAGCCGCCCGTGTCGCTCCCATCCGAAACGCCACTGCTACCGCCGGAACCGCCGTTCTCGTCTGCCGCCGCGTACCGGCCGGGCTTCACATCAACGTTTTCGCGATTTCCGCGGGCGCCATTCATCATCGCGTCATCATGATCGTCGCGATGGTTCGATCCGTTACCCGGCGGCGCCATTGGCGCCATCGGCGTCTCGGAGGGGGGGTAGTAGTAGGACGTGGGAATGTGTCTTGCGACATCGGAACCGCCGCCGCTCTCGCCCTCCTCGTCGCCTTGCGACTCGCCCACCACCGGAACCGCGGACGACGACGGAAATACATTCGCCGCGTGCGACGGTGGGAGCCCGTCACAACGCGACGAAGATGTCGCAAGAAACGAAGATGCCTGTTTCGCAACGGCATGCGTGCGATGGCTCGTCTCCGGCGCGAGCCGCCTGCGCAAACCGGGTTGCAGGGGAGGGATGTGAAAATTCCAGGTCGAAGGGGAGGAGGGGACTCAGACTCTGCAGCAAGACGACGTGAGGAGTCTATTTTTGAGGCGCCTCAAAAATAAACAAGACGACTATCACCGAATGGAGAAATGGAGACGGCGGGGTCAAAATCGATGGATGACGAAAAAGTCGAGACGGTGAAAAGTGGAAGATGAAAATGGGAAGGTGCAAATGGAAGAACATAAGGGAATCGGGGGCGAGCGGGCAAGCAGAAGGCTCACTTTTGGAGCATAATATCGTGCACTTGTCGCTCGATGGCCTTCTCGATCGCCCAGATCGTCAGCCCGTCATTCTGTGGTTGCAAGAATGGAGTCTGACAGCTCCCGGGAGAGCCGCTTTTCAATTTGAACTCGCTGCTAGTAGCATCGCGTTTCGTCATCCTCTGCCGTATCGCCGCTATGGCGTCGGAAACGGTCTGCCGCGCAATGGCCGTATCGCACAGCTGCGCGCCCCCCATCTCGCCAGATTTAGACTATGGACGGAGGAGTTTATCGGCTTGTGACTTCGCGTCGGCACGGCGGCCGTTGAAATGTATCTTTGGTGAGGCGAAGAAAGCAGCCGAAATGAGGTAGGCTTGGGATGGATGTCGGGAAGATGGAAAATGTGGCAAAGCAAAACCATGTGACACGAAGGGAAGGGAAGGATATGGTGGGAGAGGCCAACGGGGTACAGCACTGTAGTCGGGTAGTTGTCAGGTTGTTCCGTTATACGTAGGCTTTCATTTGACAATCCCCAGATTTTTGTGTCGTCGTCACCTGACAGAAGAGAGAATCAAACAGACCAGCACGGATGGAGTGAGGTGTCACGGAGCAACATCCACCAGGGTCCTTGGAGGTGTCACGTACCCAACCCTAATTTCAGGCTATTGTAAAATTCCCCTGCGAGAATCCCCCTTTTTCGCCTGGGTGGAGCATTCAGATTTTCACTTTTGATTGCACGCCATAGCCCGGTACAGTGAGGCACAGCACACCCAGGCCCAGCGCAGCGCCCTTGAAAATGACCACATTTGTTGGCAGAGGTAAATTGATGCCGACGTGGAGCGTGCGACCCCGTGTGTCTCAAGCACCCGCAAATGGAGCCCCACGCATAAAATGCGCTTTTGGTTGGAGCAAGGGAAGTGGGGTGGGGTGAAGTTTTTGGCTGAGTCAGAACTGCCTCGCCTGAATGCCTTTGCTACCATTGGTGGCCCTTGCCACGACACTCGGGAAATCGGCTTGCTGATGCAATGGCACACGCCCGGGATTGACCGCATGCCATCAAATCAAAAGCAGGCAGGAGTCTAGTGGCAGGAATCCTCTCTGAGAAGGGAGATCCAAGCCTTCAGAATTCGGGAGATGTGCAATAGCCTGCGAATTGTTCGGCTTCCATTTCGGGTATTAGATCCCTGCGAAATTGGAACATTACTTACACTACCCATCAAAATCAGGAAAGCACACTGACAGGCCACGGGAATCAGTGAGAAAGTCGTTTGAGAACCCAGACGCAAATAGAGAATCCGCATGGGAATTTCGGAAAGTGGAAGCCAGAATGAGCCCAATGTTTTCTAACACAGCCCCAACAAAGTATGGATATTCACAATACAAACTGTTATCGAGGCAGAAGAAAACACTCCGACAGAATATCTTTTGCAGACGCCATGCGTTTCTGCAAAACCAATCCCAAAATATCCCTCCCCCCCCCAACCCCGCCACATTTGCCTGGAGAGCCGCAGAATTCCGCGTTTGAGAAGGCACGCTAACAAAACCAATGGATCAGGTCAACCTGTTATGATGAAGTGCCTTTCATCACACCTTGTGAAGGGAATTCATGGCGCAGTATCGTTTCCATGTGCCATCATCTGCACGAATCATAAAATAGAACCCAGTCCACGTACACAATCACAACTACACGAGCAAAAAAAAGTGGGTATTAAGCTGCTAGGTACCTGAAACATGGCTTGATCCTGACACCCATTCATTAGCTATGCATGTTGTGCACACAACCTTTGACTCAAAAGCGCCGCATGTCTTTGGGCGGCCGGAAATTGACGGGATGCGTTTCCGGGGTGGCATTTTCATCCTCCTTCCACATTTTGATGGTCTTGTCCGCTTCACACGTCACCAGCCGCTTGCCCGTCACGTCGAATCCCATCGCATATATGCCCGCCTCACTGTCGAGCGACCCTGTGAACGGCGGGAGATTCAAATGGAGGGAGGAATGGAGAAAAGGCAGTAAGTGAAGTGGCAGAGGACCGATGAATGTGAGCATCGAGCAGAGTGGGTGGCAAGGTATGCAGAGAGGCGTTCGTTCAAATGGACCAGCGGTAGGAGCGGACGAGAGCCCAGAGGGAGGCGGCCATTGAATAGAATTGAATTGAAAGACTGTACTGGATGGCGGGTGAGGAAAGACTTTGAGGGGAGAAGACGAGAGCGCATGGAGTGAATGCATAAAGAGTGAACATGAAAAACGCAGAGCCATATTGCGGACCTTGCTGCACTGAGGTCGCACCTGGCTGCACTGAGGTCGCACCTGGCTGCATTGAGGTCGCACCTGGCTGCATTGAGGTCGCACCTGGCTGCACTGAGGTCGCACCTGGCTGCATTGAGGTCTCACCTGGCTGCACTGAGGTCTCATCTGGCTGCACTGGATCTCACCTGGCTGCACTGAGGTCTCACCTGGCTGCACTGAGGTCGCACCTGGCTGCACTGGATCTCACCTGGCTGCACGATGGTCTGTGTCTGTTGGAAGTTGTGGCCGCTCTTCCAGTCCCAGAACCAGATGGACCCGTTGTCGCCTGCACACCGACCACGCACGCATGGGTGGTCGGTGACGCATGTCAAAAGGGTGATGGGAGAAAACGACTTTGAGATGTTTTGAAAAAAGCATGACATTAGGAAGGGTGGGCGAGGTACAGCACGGCAGGGTTTCGAAGATTCAGGTGTGAGATCTGAACGAGGATCTGAACGAGGATCTGAACGAGGATCCAAACGAGGATCCGAACGAGGATCCGAACGAGGATCTGAACGAGGATCTGAACGAGGATCTGAACGAGGATCTGAACGAGGATCTGAACGAGGATCTGAACGAGGATCTGAACGAGGATCTGAACGAGGATCTGAACGAGGATCTGAACAAGGATCTGAACGAGGATCTGAATAGGAAGGGTGTGGCGGGGTCGAGAAGCGGATTGAAGTGTGGAATGGGAAGGGTGTGGGAGAGGGGAGGAGCAGGCGGGCGCACCTCCTGACGCGAGCACGTTGTCCTCATTCACATCCGCCGTGTTGATGATGGTGCGCTGCTGGGAGCTGCCACCCACAGGCACAGTGGGGAGTGTGGGGGGGGGGTACCAAGGCAACAGGGAAGAATGGGGGCAGTGCATGATGAGAGCCCTTCAGAATGCTTTTGCTTAAATCCATTCAGGACGGGGGTGCGGGGAATCAGCCCCGCCCACCATCTATTCTGGAGGAATAGGTGTGCAGATTACTTCGGCCCTCCTCCATTCTGACAGCATCTCACATCAAGCATATCAAGAATATCAAGCATATCAAACGTATCAGACACTGGAGCACACACAGAGCACATGCCTGACGGCAACAAGAGAGCAAAGTGGAAACAGGGAGGAGAGGGAGGGAGGTAGGAATGGAGGGAGGGAACAGACAGATGAAAAGATAGCATGCTGGGCATTCAAGCACTCACAGCATGTTGGGCATTCAAGCACTCACAGCATGTTGTGCATTCAAGCACTCACAGCATGTTGTGCAGGAACTCCCCCTTGGGCAGTTTGTACTTCTTGATGTTGTCTGCTGACGCCGACACAAACGTCTTCCTGCACGACGCACGATGCACGATAGATGGAGGATGAGGATGGAGGATGCCCGTTGCAGAATGCACAATGGAGGATGGAGGGTGGAGGATGGAGGCAGCCCAGAGGTGGAAGCACGGAGAAGGGATGGAGGGGAGGGTGACAGAATATGGTGAAGGAGAGTGTGGTACAGAAGAACAGCACGGGCAGCAATGCCCAGGGTTCAAGGATGCAGTATGAGCGTGGACCCGGCTGGCAAGCGGGGCAGGACGAGAAAGGCGGTGGAAACGCAAGGAAGGGCAGCACGGGGGGGGGGGGGGGACCACATACTCGAAGGGGTGCTTGGCAAGGGCTCTGACGGACTTCTTGTGGTATGTGAGAGTAGACATGGCCTTGCCTGGTGGCGTGGGGGAGTGCGTGTGGATGTGGGTGTGGATGTGGGTGTGGATGTGGGTGTGAGCACAATCAGATGTACACACATGAGCACAAGCGAACCCCCACCGCCGAGACATATGGTTGTCACATCCTCATGCGCACACATGTGATGTGTATGTATGGCCTTTTCCTCTCCCCCGTCCCCACCCCTCCGTTTCCCAAGTCACCATGCACGCGTCCATGTGCAAAAGCCCCAAGGCAGGAAGCAAAAGTGCGCGAGGCACAAGCACGCGGCATGGAGGGATGCAGGGGGCGCATGGAGAGGCGCATACGACGAATTCGTGACACAGACAAGCACTCTTTTGGCACAGTCACATGCAACGGCCATGCGTCGACCCTGGGGCACCGCCAGCACTCACCCGCAGCCAGGTCCCAGAGCTTCACAGTGGTGTCGTGCGAGCCCGTGATCACTTGGGGGTCCTGGGGGGGTGTGGGGGGGGGAGGTGTGAGTCACAGAGTGGGATAAGGAAGGGGGGGGTTAAGTGGGTGAGATGACGCAGGTGTGGGGTGGGGTTCCCCGAAGGCCGCATGAGGGGCGAGTGGCATGAGGAACGGCAGGTGGTGGTTGCCAAGGCGAGGGAGCAATACCCATAGGGAATACTCAAGGGCGGACGAGAGGAGGTGAAGGCACTGGGAGTGAAAACGAGCCCATCAATGCGAGCAATGGAAGCAACAAGTGCGAAGAGGGCTTAACACTTGCGGTAACCGAGTGATACACGAAACGCCATAGCGTTGTAGGGGCATCTCACAGTGGCCTGGGCGATCACGGAGCACACGGTGTTGTCGTGGCCGCTGAGAGCAAAGATCTGCGCCTTGGTGCGCACGTCCCACACCTGGCGTGGAGCAGAGGCAGAGGCATGGCGGCATGCCATGCCATGGCATGGCACAGACGCAGGGGGTTTAGGCAAGGCATTAAAGACATGGCATGGCATGGCATGGCATGGCATGACATACCCAGGAAATTGGTGAGCATGGTCGCAGTGGAGGTGGGGGGTGCGGGCTGAGAAGAGTGCGCAGGAGAGGAGCGCGTCACATTGAGCTGGCAGCGGCCCTAGCGTCCCACCATCATACTCCACCCCACACCACTACCAAGCACCCCGATCCTGGCAGATTCCACTGCATTCCACCATATCTTACTGCACTCCACAGCATCCCACTGCATTCACAGCATCCCACTGCACCCACAGCATCCCACTGCACTCAGAGCATCCCACTGCACTCACAGCATCCCACTGCACTCACAGCATCCCACTGCACTCACAGCATCCCACTGCACTCACAGCATCCCACTGCACTCACAGCATCCCACTGCACTCACAGCATCCCACTGCACTCACAGCATCCCACTGTACTCACAGCATCCCACTGGACTCACAGCATCCCACTGCACTCCACAGCATCCCACTGCATCCTAAAGCACCCCTCCCACCCCAGACCACCGCACTGACCCGGCAGACGGAGTCTCTCCCCCCCGTTAGAAGCACATCCAGCATGGGGTGCAGCGCGAGGCAGTACACGCCACTCAGATGCCCGTGGTACGAACGAATCACCTGCCGCCACGTGGCAGAGGAAGTGGGAACATGACAAGTTAAGTAGATTGAAAGGGAGCAGGAAAAAGTTATGTAATCCAGAGACCCCTATGGTGACATAGCAGATACTAGCCGGATGAACGCATTGTAAAATAGGCGCAAATGGCATCACAGTCATTGTGCAGACAGCCGTACATATGTGCAACCTATACTACACCCACAACGCACAACACAAGTGCACCAAGGAACACTGCAGGCAGGGCCCGCGCCCCGCCAGTTAGACATGGGCAATCGAGGCGAGTAATTACTCGCCTCGTTTATCCATCTCGGGAATCTTGAGGAAGGAGGCGGGCAGCCTAAAAAATACTCGACCCAAGGCGAGGCGAGTAAACTCGTAGAGTAAACGAGTGTCCGACTTCTACGCGCCTCCCGAGGGCGAGTGAACAACTGTTAGAGAGCAAACACGACTCGCAAGCTTGTTTTTTACTCGACCTCTACCAGAGCAGGCGGGCATTTCGCCCGTCAGATCCGCGCGGGCGGCAAGGGGCCAGGCCTCGAGGCGAGTAGTACTCGGCCTGGGGCGAGAAATGTTTACTCGCCCCGATTAACTGGGTAACTCACCCTAAAAACGAGTAGGTGAGGCAGGGCATGGGAAGAAATACTCACCTCCAATGTGAGGCGAGCCAAAATTACTCGGGGAAAGTATTGCTCGCCTCGCCCAATGCCCTTGTCTACTGCCAGTTTTGACCCTTGAGTTGACTCAAAAGCCGTCCTGTGTGTGGTGGGCGCTGTGACTTGTGGGGCTTGACTGAATTTAGTGATCTAGTACCGCACTCAAGGCACGACCAGATTGCAATGCCACCTGGGCTGGGTTGCCAGCAGCCTGGCTGCCATGGCAGTAACATGAGTTCACCTTGTTGTACTCGAGATCCCAGCACTTGACGAGCTTGTCGTCGCCCGCAGAGAACATGTAGGGGTACTTGGGGCTCACGGCCAGGCCTGGGCGGACGACATGGCGGGGGTGGGGGAAGGGGGGGGGAAGGGGGGATGGGAGGAAGAGAGGGAGGGGAGGGGGATATGAGTTGCATGAATAGCAGCACACAGAGCATGCAGGGGCACTTGGGGCCCACTGCCAGGCCTGGAACGGAGGAGGGGGAGCAGGCGTGAGGAAGGGGAGAGAGATAATTAGCTTATGCGCTGCCGGGGGGCGCAGTAATTCGTAACAGAACTTGGATGCGATGGCGAGAAGTAGGGTTTGGAGCAGGAAGTTGAGGGCGGGTGCAAGAGGAGAGACAGTTGACAAACAGGAGGGCAGGCATGGGATGCTGCACATCTGTTCAAAAAGCCCATCCGAAATCTGCTTGCGTGCGCCTGTGCGTATGCGTCCAAAACACCCACCTCTGATCTGCTCGATATGCCCTGTGAGAGTCAGCTTCAGCTTGCCTGTGGCTAGCTCCCAGATCTGTGCGCATGGGGGGATTGGCATACATGCAATGCGTGGATGGCATGGCATGCACGCATCGTGTGGTTAGCATATGTGCGCATGTGCACATGAATGCACGCTGGCACACGTGCACCCATGCGTGTCCTCGTGTACCAACAGAGGAGAAGGAACAAGACTGCGCCGAGGCAATCACGACTGGACTGGCACATGGGAAGACGGGGTGCACGGGTGGTATATGTATGTATGTACACATGCACATATATCCATATACAACTGACTGACTCCACCCCACCTTGATGGTGCGGTCAGCAGAGCCGGTGCAGAACCACTCGTTGCCCGGCTCAAAGGCCACCGAGCGCACCCACCCCATGTGCCCACTGATCACCTGCAGGGTGTGGGAAGGGGTGGGGTGGGTGGGCAGGGGGGGCGAGGTGGAGCAGGAGGAGAGCGATCGAAGCAGCGGATCCAAGGCGGGCAGGGAGAGCGGGTGAGGCCGGGAGAGCGGGTGAGGCCGGGAGAGCGGGTGAGGCCGGGAGAGCGGGTGAGGCCGGGAGAGCGGGTGAGGCCGGGAGAGCGGGTGAGGCCGGGAGAGAGCGGGTGAGGCCGGGAGAGAGCGGGTGAGGCCGGGAGAGAGCGGGTGAGGCCGGGAGAGAGCGGTGACGAGGGATCGAACGAGGGAGCGGGGCGTACAGCACAATGCAGGAGTCGCGGCCACCCAGGAGGGACAAACCAGAGCCCCACGGCTCGAGAAGCACAACGTGGGTGGCGCACACCCAGAGCACACAGAGAGTGTGTTTGGGTTGGCACTCACGCGGTAGTTCTTCCAGGGCGGGTGCCACTCGGGCTTGGGCCACTTGCTGGGCAGGCGGCGAATTATGGCCGCGCTGGGCTTGTACCTGGGGGAAGGGAAAGGCGGGGGGGAGGGGGGGGGGGGGAAAGGGGGAGGCCAGGGGAACAATCGTCAGGAGAGGGGAGGGGAGGGGCGAGAGGAGGAACGAGCGAGGTGTCAAGTGAGATCGCCGGGGTGGGCAGTGAGAGAAAAGAGGTGGAAGGAAGAGTGAAGGGGGTGTCAAGTGAGAGTGAGGGAAACACAAGCGGTCAAGGGGGACGTGACTTGACGCCAACGTGGACAGAGCGGTGGTGACTGCGGCGAAGCAGCTTGGAAATTACCGCATGAGCAGCACCGCCCACCTGTCCGCCACGGTGACGGCATTGGAGGGTGCAGCCGCAGCCGCAGCGCCAGGCGCCGTGAGTGGCACGAGGGCTCCCTGGGAGTTGGAGCTGGTGCGGTGCGGGGCGGATGGAGATAGGGAGAAAAGCGATAGTGGGGAGCAAAACGGGGAGGGGAGAAGAAGGGAGAGAGGCAGTGATGTGTAAGAGGGCAGGGGGGGAAGAGAAAGAGGCTGGGAGGAGGGGTTTGAGGAAAGCGCGAGAGGGAGGGACAGGAGGAGGGAGGGAGTGAGGTGGAGAGAGCAGGGGAATAGAGCGCAAAGGGACAGCTGAGAGGGATGCACGGTTGGGAAGGAAGGAAGGAGGGCAATAAGGAAGGAAGAAGGATGCACGGTTGACGACCATGCAGTTGACGACCATGCGGTTGACGACGATGCTTCAGAGACCCCGCTTGCCCAAACGAGGCTGTAGACGTGTCCATGTTTCGCTACAAGCTGCAAGCACCTGGGGGATGGTCATGCTCGCGAAGCACCTGACAGGCTGCAAGTGTGTAACCAGGAGACCAGCTGACCTGGAGGCGAGCACAATAGCACTGGAGGCACCAGGCGCAGGGCCAGCGGCGGCTCCCGCTGCACCGCCGCCAGCATTCCCTGCCACGCCTGGGGGGAGGGGCGGGGGGAGATGGCGGAGAGAGAGAGGAAGCGATGGAGCGCGGACGAGGAGGAGGCGTGCGTGACGGTGGTGCGCGATGCTGGCAGCGGGAAGGGCGCGGAATGGCAGAGTGAACGGTGGGGAACGGCGAGAAGGGAAAGGCGGATTGATTCTTGCGGCAGGGGCAGAGGGGTAGTAAGGGAAAGGCAAGCGCGAGTGCAGAGCGCGAGTCTATGAGCGCACCAGCAGCGGAGGGAGGCCCACCGAGCCCCCCTTGCGGCTGCGACGCGGCTTGCTCCACCACCGCCGCCAGCGACGGCAGGCTTCCGCCCGCGCCTGGCGCGCCAGCCCCCGCCGCTGCTGGCGCGCCTGCGCCCGCGGGCTGCGCGGGGTCCTTGCCGGCTTGCCCCGCGGGCAGTGGCGGGGGGAGATGGCGCACGACTTGATACTCGTCGCGGATCTGCGGGGATACCGAGGGGAAGCGGAAATTAGGGTTCGGTATTTTGCGCTGATAGGCGCAGCGAATTGGGTCAAAGCAAGGCGCACGGGAACACTGGTTGAGTGAAACGCCAGCGGTTGGTTGATAGCGCAGCTCTCAGGGGTACGAACTCACCTTCACTGATTGCCGAATTGCACGGCTGGGATTCGAGAAAAGATCAGAAGGGCGATGGGAGTCGTAGATGGACGCAGGGCAAGGAGAGAAAAAAGAAGGATTAAGCCAAATTGGATGCGAAAGGTGTGGAAAGAGCTTGCTTGGCGAGAGGACTTGAGGGTGAATACGGGAAAGGCAGCGCAGCGCAGATAACCGTTGCCGTGTGGGGGTGGGCTAGGGATCGATCAAGTCAGACCTGGTTGGGTCGCGAACAATGGCATCGATTTTTTGTTGCGAGTCGAAGAACTCGTACGTGCGCTTCAGCGATCTTAAAACTAGCTTCTTGAGCGACTGCGGCTCGAGATCGTCCGCCATAGTGGCTACTGCCGCCACAGGAGGCATGGCGGCCTCGGCTATCAACGTGAAACGAAGACTCCGTGCTTCGGGTTCATCTTTTCAACGTGCTCTGATGGGAGATATTGTCGCACGATAATCGCAGATGTGTTTTGGCGATGTTACAGCGTCTAAGCACTCTTTATACTACTATACTTTTGAATTGTGCCAAATTTAATGGAAGACGACCCACATCCCTTGTTTTGAATTCACGCAGTATATTAAAAGATGTTAACGTGAATTTACGTGCAGAAATTATAGGCTTCACGAGATCCAGCACGCCTGGAAATAGTCAGAATTTTTTCAAACTCCCACAATCTGCTAGTAGTTGAGGCGTTCCGTGTAACGAAGATATGAAATGTCAGGTATCTCCCTTGTTATACCGGGTCACACTTTCAGGTGGTATGTGGATGTTTGTCTTGGTTCCTGTGAACCCTCACTTGACCCGCCGCAGTACCACACCGCCAGCACCGCTTTTCGCGCAGCTCACTCGCGTCTTCGGTCGCACCTCTTGACGTCTCGGCTTCGATCACTGCCAGCTACCTGACGCCTCTCAACGCAGGCCGGCGTTGCCTACCGTAGCCGGGACCCTCGCGCATAACTCAAGCGGGGCGCGATGGCGCTGAAGTTTCTGAACAAGAAGGGGTGGCACACGGGGAGCCTGCGCAACGTGGAGAAGGTGTGGAAGGCGGAGCAGCGCGAGGCGGACGAGCGCAAGAAGGTGGACGAGCTGCGCAAGCAGATCGCGGACGAGCGCGAGGCGGAGGAGTTTCAACGACTCAGGGAGCAGGCGGGGCTCGTGCCGTGAGCAATCAGCCCCCTGTTGGTTCTAATCCCCAAGCATTTATTATCTTAGGAGCGCGACGCGGAGGAGTTTTAGCGCCTCGGGTGGGGCTCGTCCCGTAAGGAACAAATCGTTTCCTTTTTTTTTCCTGGAGCAGTTCTCGTCACAGCATGAGCCACGATGCTTTGGTCCACAGCCGTTGGCGCACTCCATCCGTCGGGCCTCCCGTCGGTAGTACCGCGCGTGTGCCTCACGACACAACCGTTCGGCTCCCCATTTCTCCCTCATCCGTGCCTCGACTTTCAACACCACCGCACGTGTGCCAAATCCCACTTCTCTCCTCCCAATCCGGCCTCCCTGCTCTCCCCCCAGGCTGCAGCAGCGGGTGGACTTCCTCTATGAGTCGGGGCTCTCCACCGGCAAGGGCATGGACGGCGGCGCCATGGGTGCCATGGGCGGGCCGTCCACGGACGAGCTGATGTCGCAGAAGGTGGACTTCTCGGCGCCCAAGCAGGGAGGCGCGCCCGACATCTCCAACGTACGGCTCACGCTGGGTGATTGGGGCACGGTGGGCTCACTCAGAAGCATGGGAGGAACGTCTCTGCTCCCAAGCTTGCAGGCGTGCCCAGCAATATAGATTTTGAGGACACGAATGGTCACGGGAAGGGGCACGGTGGGTCTAGACGTCAAGAGGATGACGTCAAAACCAGATTCAAGACCGCACACGTTGAAGATGTTCCATGGCGCTACAACTGCTGTGTGTAACTGCCATGTTGCGTTGCGTCAAGTTGACTTCACCCTCTGCATCCTGTGCCATCTTGCATCCTGTACCATCTTGCATCTGTCGGTTGGCTTCCATTCAGCCACCGCCCACAGCAGTTCTGGTCCTGTCTCCCCCCCACGCCATCATGCTCCCCCGTCGTATCCTCCCACCCTGTGCACGTCTCACACCCCCCCTCCTGTGACCACCACCCACCTTGCAGGCGTCCACTGTCCCGGGCTCTCTGTTCGCCGCGGACGGGGGAGCGGGTGTGGGGGGGGGGAGGAGGAGGCGGGGCCGGTGGCGGTGAGTGCGAACGAGATGTGGCGGCGCCTGCACTCGGACCCGCTGGTGATGATTCGGCAGCGCGAGCAAGAGGCGCTGGCGCGCATCCGCAACAACCCCGTCAAGATGGGCATGATCAGAGCGCAGGTGAGGGAGGGGGGTTTGGGTTACATGAGAGTTTAGGTGGGCATATTTGCACAAGAGGTAGGATGCAGATAGTGGAGGAGCAGGGGAGATGGGAACGGTGAGAGAAGTTGGAGAGGGAGGGTGGGGAAGTTGTGCTTCAAGATGCGCTTGCATTGATGACATGTTGCGCTCTGCATTCTCTCTGTGCTTGATTGGCTCACAGGCTGAAGTGGAGAAGGGCGGGAAGAGCAGGAAGGAGAAGAAGAGGGAGAAGAAGGAGCGAAAGAGGAAGCGTAAGGAGGAGCGGCGGGCGAGGAGGGAGAAAAAGAAGCGGCGGAAGCAGAGCGACAGCGAGAGCAGCAGCAGCGGTGGTAGCAGTGAAGAGAGTGAGGAGGAAAGGCGTGGTAGGGGCAGGGAGGGGGGGGGAGGGAAAGGGCAGCAGGAGAGTGATCGGGTAGATGATGGTGGTGAGATGGGCAGGAAGCATGGCTGGGATGGTGGGAGAGGGACGAAGGAACCGGATGTGAGGGAGGAGAGGAGCGATGGGGGTGGCAGAGAGGGGAGGATGGAGGTGTGGAGAGCGGTGGGCGGAGAGGGTACAGGGAGAGGGGTGGGCGGAGAGGGTACAGGGAGAGGGGTGGGCGGAGAGGGTACTGGGAAAGGGGGGGATGCGGTTAGGGAAGGCTTTGGGCGAGGTGGGAGGAGTGATAGGGTGGATGGGTGTGAGAGAGAAGGGAGAGAACAGAGGGAGAAGAGGGATGCTTGGGAGAGGAGTGAGAAAGAGAGGGATGTGAGGGAGAGGGGCGAGAGGGGAGGGGGGGATGAGAGGGGGAGGGCTGTGAGGGGAAGCAGTTATGTAACGGAGAGGAGTGAGAGGGAAAAGGGGGAGGCGGGGGGGAGGAGGGTTGAGACAGAGAGGAGGGGTGAAAGGGAGGGGAGGGATGAGACGGAGAGGAGGGGCGAAAGGGAGAGGAGGGATGAGACGGAGAGGAGGGGTGAAAGGGAGAGGAGGGATGAGAGTCTGGTTGGGCCATTGGGACGAGGAGAGAGACGGGAGGAGCAGGAGAGGGCAATGAGGGGAGGACGAGGAGACGACGACAGGCATGAGAGAGCGCAAGGGAAGAAGAGGCACGAGGTGCAGGAGCAGAGGGACGAGAGGGAGCAGAGGGAGCGGAATAAGGGGCGTGAGGGAGGAAGCTACCATGGTAGTGGTGCTGGCGGTGGGAGGGGCGGAAGGGATGGAGGGCGGGACAGCGATGGAGGGCGGGCCAGGGATGGAGCCAGGAGTGGAGGGACGGACGGAGAGTGGGATGGGCGTCGAGAAGGGAGGTTGGGGGGGAGGCGTGAGGCGGTGGATGCAGAGAGGAGCACGAGGCAGCGGCACGACAGCCCTTCAGATAGCGAGGGTGGGAGCGATGGCGCGGGCGGGGTAGGCGCTGACAGGCGTCCAGCACAGCCCGCAAGGGAGGGTGCGGAGAGGAGTGCTGGCACAGCAAGAGGAGGCACGGACGGGGATGAGGAGCGTGCAGTGCCACTGTACGGGCTCTCCTTCCACCGCATGGCGCCACACACCGCTCCCCCTGCAGCCGCACCTGCTGGCCCTGACTCTGGTGTTGCTGCAGGCAAGGCAAGGAACGAGGCGCCTGGGCAGAGAGAAAGCGAGGGGAAGGGAGGGGCGGGAGCCAGCAGAGGCGCTGGCAGTGGCACAGGGAGTGGTAGTGGCTCCCAGCAGAGGGGGGGGGGAGGGCGGCAGGGGCGGCAGCGGATGACGGAGGAGGAGAGGCAGCGGCGGCTGGTGGAGATGGAGGCGAACGCGCAGGCCGTGGAGGGGGAGAGGCGGGAGCGCATCCAGTGGGCAGCGCAGAGGGATGCGCGCGAGGCGCAGGGGGATGCTGCTGCTGGCGCCCGTGGGACCTTCCTCCGGGTAAGCCGCTTGCTTGCTTGCTTCTAGAGCCCTTGTGGGCTGTGAGCTCTTCCCCCCGCCTCACGTTGGTCATCCTGCTTCTTGTGTCCCTACAAGGCCCAGCGATTTCTGTGGCCTGGACTAGTCTGCTGCATTGAATTTGCACGGCTTTCTTGTGGGCGGGTGAGCAGGAGGCGCACAAGGAGGTGTATGGCGCGGGCAGTGGGGCGGCGGGGGATGCGGCGATGCAGGCAGCAGCGGGGGCGGGTATGTCCATCGAGAGCAGCATTCGCCGTCGCTCGCACTTCCTGGAGAAGGGCAGGGGCGATGCCAGTGCGTTCAGGAGATGACACCTGAGGCGGTGCGGTGGGGCTGCAGCGTGTGATAGGAGTCCTATCACGCTATCAAACTAGACTCCTATCACGCTATCAAACTAGGCTCCTATCACCCTATCAAACTAAGCTCCTATCACGCTATCAAACTAGGCTCCTATCACGCTATCAAACTAGGCTCCTATCACGCTAGTGCGTTCAGGAGATGACACATGAGGCAGCGCGGTGGGGCTGCAGCGTGGCTTGGCTTCACAACGCCAGAGGCTGTGTCTGTCTGATCGGCCATGTGTTCAGTTCAGCAAGTCAAGATGTCGCCAGCAGCCATGGTGTTTTGCAATGCTTGTCTTCTCGCGTATGGGAATTCTAGTGTTTGGCTCTATGATTCAGACAAGTGAATACCACAAAGGACAAAACATGGGGCATGCTTGACATGGTGTTTGGTATCAAAAGAGAACTGAATGATTGCATAGAGGGAGAGAACAAGGGTATATACCTAAGAGTGTTGTACCCTCTAAGAGGTGACCCTATATAGTCTATACAAATATGAGTTATACATATATTTCACACACCCCCTAGACTGCACAGGGGCAAATCCTGAACAAGCAGCTCAGGGCGGCACTACTAGTCCAGCCACTGAGACAAGGGTCTAAAGACCAGTCAAAAGGAGTACAGGCAAGACAAGAACAAGACCAGGGCAACACTACTAGTCCGGCCACTGGGAAAGGACACAAGTCCAGTCTGAGTACATAGATATATATAGGACAGTACAAAGTCAAGGTCCTAGCAAGTGAGAGGCTACAGGAACTAGACCGAGCTGTACACAGTGCCGCTGATGATCTTTAGGCGCAAGCGCTTTCGTAAAGATATCAGCTGTGTTGGCACCAGAGGCCAAGTGAACTACGCGGGCCTGGCAACGCTGCTGTAGCTCACGCAGGAGGAAGTACCGCAGCTGAATGTGCTTCGCTCTGCCCTCAAGTCGAGGCTCCTGACACAGGAGTATCATGGGCCTGTTGTCAGCATACAGGACCGGGGCAGAGCTAGGCCGCTCACCTAAGTCTGTGAGCAAGAAAGTCAGCCAGCGGAGCTCCTGTGCCGCCATGGCACCAGCGTAGATCTCAGCCTCACAGCTCGACTGAGCAACAGACGACGAGCGAGTGGATCTCCAAGAGATAGCACCCGAACCAAGGCTAAAGCAGTAGCCCTGTGACGACCTGAGCGCCTCAGAGTCGTCTGCCCAAGAAGCGTCTGTGTGCCCAGTGAGGACCACTGGCCTGCGTCCTCCCAACACTAACCCCATGCCTGATGTACTTGCTAGATATCGCAAAACCCTCTTGGCTGCCGACCAGTGCTGTGGTCGGTGTCTGCCAGTGGCCACAAAGCGAGCCAGGATGCTGAGAGGGTATGCGAGATCTGGGCGAGTGCAGGTCATCAGGTACATGAGGCAACCCACCAGCTCTGCGTAGGGGCCGCTGGGCTCTACTGACTCCTCAGGAAAAGGAGCGGAAAGCCCGTGGTCTACAGGTAGAGGTGTGGGCTGTGCAGAGGAGAACTGAAGACCGAACCTCTGAAGGACCTGACGCACCAAGTGTGACTGGGTCAGAGTGATGGTGCGTGCTGCTTTGTCCCTGGAGATCTGCAGGCCAAGATAGCGACGCAGCTCTCCAAGACCAGTGCAGGTGTGTCTCTTCAGCAGCTCAGTCTTCACAGAGGCCAGTGCGTCCCTGTCAGGAGTAGCGAAGACCAGGTCGTCTACGTAGACAAGGATGTAGAACGGAGTCTGGCCGGAACGCACAAACAGTGAAGGGTCAGCAGAGGACGGAAAGAACTGCAGGTCTGCTAACGTGGCACGTAGCGTGTCGTGCCACTTGCGGGGAGCCTGACGCAGGCCGTAGACCGGGCGTCTGAGAAGCCACTGGGTCCCAGGAGGGAAGGTACCAGTGAAGCCCTGTGGTTGGCGCAGGTAGACCTGCTCGTGTAGGCTGCCCTGAAGAAAGGCAGTAGAGAAGTCGAGGGAGTGAAGCTCGTAGTCACGCTGAGCTGCTACGTGTAGCCGCACCCGAAGAGTAGTCATCTTCGGGGTCGGAGCGAAGGTCTGGAAGAAGTCAACCCCCTCGCGCTGACTGAAACCTCTGGCCACGTAGCGCGCCTTGAAGACAGGCGGCTCTCCAGGGGGGCGCTTCACCTTGAAGAGCCACCGACCATCGACTACGTTCACCCCAGGCGGGGGAACTGCGTCGACATAAGTGCCGGTGGACCTCCAAGATGCCATCTCCTGCTCCATGGCAGCTATCCACTGAGAGGCCCAAGGTCCCGAGGTGGCCTCAGCGTAGGTGCGAGGGGTCGGGATGTCGAAGGCGTCTGGGTCACCCTCAGGGACTAAAAGCATGGAGCAGAGATGGGGAGCAGCCTCGGACAGGAAAGCCAGCTCGTACTGCCTGTCCTCTAGGACGTCACTGCCAAGGGCAGGAGCACCCCCAACGGACGGAGGACGGGTAGGGTCAGAGACCAGAGCGGTAGCGTAGTCAAGGCGGCGGGTAGAGGCGAAGTCAGCGACAGCAGCGACAAGCGCGTCAAGGCGCGAGACAGGAACAGCAGGGTCGGTAACAAGAGAGGCAAGGACCCGAGGGACAAGGGGACGAGCAGCACGGAGGTAGTCAGAGAACGGAGGAGGTGCAACAGCAAGGGACGAGGGAGGAGGGGACGGGAGGAGAGGAGGACGAGACGAGCGGGAACGGAGCAACATAGGGTGGGTGGGCAGGACAGGAGAGACGGGACGAGCACGGGAGGGACGACGAGCCCAAACGTGAGACGGAGGGGTGGGGTCAGGGGACAGCGGAGGAGACACAGGAGGGGAAGGAGGAGGAAGACGGGTCGGAGACGCGTCCGGCGGCGGGAACACAGGACCGTAGACAGGAAGGTCAGCAGGCGGTGGGGGAGACACCGGCACGCGGTCCGGGGAGGGAAGGCCGAGTAGGCGGAGAGCGGAGACCGGCGGCGACGGCTGCTGCGGCGGCGACGACAGCTGGGCCGGAACTCTCGGACCAGCAGAGGCAGAACGATCGTCGGCAGAACACTCAACAGCAGCACCCCCAGAACCAACACCCCCAGAGCGAGAACCCCCTCCAACACCAGCGGCACCCCCAGAAGCCAAGAGTGGCGGCGGCAGTGGCGGCGACGACTGCGGCGTCGGCGACAGCGGCGACGGCTGCGGCGGCGACGGCGACGGCGGCTGCGACAGTGGGGGCGGAGGCACCGGGGAAGGGGGACGCGGCAAGGACCGACCGGGGGTACCACCAGAGTCAGCAGACTCCTCAACGAGGACAACCGACGGAAGGGGAGTGACGTGAGAGACACCAGACGGGGCAGGACGAGGCGGGAGAGGGGCAGGGGCTACCGGGGGAGAGGGAGCAAGGAACAGGGGGGGGCAACTGGGAGACCTCGGTGAGGGAAGCGGCGGTAAAAGGAGACGGACTCGTCAAAGGTAACGTCACGAGAGTGGAGGAAGTGGTGAGACGGCGGGTGATAGAAAAGCCAGTCAGACGAGTCTAGGGGGAAACCGAGGAAGACACAGGGGACAGTGCGGGCAGTGAGCTTGTCCGTGCCAGAGGCACGAACGTGAGCAAGGCAGCCCCAGACATGGAACGCAGACGCGTCACCGGGGGACCCGGTCCAAAGAAGGGTCGGCGAAACCTGCGGCCGCTGGGAGCGTGGCCACAGGTTAAGCTGGTGAGCAGCGTAGCGAACAGCGAACGGCCACAGAAAATGGGGGGCATCGGCATGGATCATGGAGGTGCGGGCGACCTCCATGACCAAGGCGATGCGGCGCTCAGCAACCCCATTCTGCTGTGGCGAGTCCGGCAAGGTGTACGACTGGGTGATGCCCTCCGCACGACAGAACTGTCCAAGCCGACCAGAGGCGAACTCGCCGCCACGGTCGGAGTGGAGACACAACACGGGGAGACCGCGGTGGAGACGCGCAGCCACAACCCACGGGAGAAGAACGTCGGGCACGTCGGCCTTCCGCTCCAGGGGAAACACCGTGGTATAGCGTGTGTAGTCGTCGACGAGCACAAGGAAGTAGCGCTCACCGCGCGGTCCGGGGACGGGGGCAGGGCCCCAAACGTCCAGGTGCAGGGTCTGAAGGGGGGCAGTAGCCGGGCGCAGCGAGGAGGAGTGAGGGGCACGGCGGAGCCGGCCCTCGACGCAAGGCGTGCACGGTGGCGCAGTCGAGGGAGGAAGGGCGGGGAGCGACACAGGGAGACCTAAGACAAGGCCGTGCTGGGACATGTGACGCAGACGAGGGAGAGCAGGGTGACCTAAGCGGTGGTGCCAGAGAAGGGACGGGTGAGTGAGGGAACGACACGAGCAAGCTGCAGCAACCTGGGAGGACGCACCAACCGGAGGGGAGGCGGTGTCTAGGGTAAACAGACCGGACACCGGGTCCCTGGGGAACGTCGCAAGGGGGGAACCTGTGACAGCCTCAGAACAGACAGCGAACCGCTCGTGCCCGGGGAACGTGGTGGTGACGCCGAGGTCCTGGAGACAGCCGACACCAACCAGGTTCCTCGAGAATGAGGGAACGTGGAGGCCTGTAAGCGAGCCCGAGGGAACGGCTGGACAGGGAAGGGACGTAGAACTGCGAGCGACGACAGGACCCGCAGAGGGGTCGGCGAGAGAGACGACAGCTGGCGTAGCAAGCGGCGTAAGTGCGGAACGGTCGCGGAAGAAGCAGGCAGAAGCACCGGAGTCGAGAGTGAAGGACAGCGCAGCAGTGGCAGGGGCGGGGAACGGAGCCGGTGCAGAGACGAGGCTAGACAAACTAGGCAGTCCTACGCCTGACGCAGCAGGGGAGGCTAGGCTACACAACGGTGCAACACCTAAACTACAGAACACAGGATAATAAGATCCAGCAACACTAGCAGCGTCAGAATACATGGCATGCAAAGCAGCACCTATCTGATCCATGTCTAACTCAAAGATCGGCACGCCCTGGCGGAGCAGGGTGTGCCAGTCGGGGAGGTCTGGGGCCGGGCCAAAGCGACGACGAAAGAGATCGTCGAGGCGGCGGAAACAGCGGGCAGTCGGGTGCGGGCGGCGGCACAGAGTGTCGCGAAGGGGCCCGGTCTGAAGCTGGTACTGACAGGTGACAGCACCGGAGCCGCTGGTGGACGCCAAGCTGCGCGGGCCGCCACCACTGCTACCACCCCCTGAGGAGCCTGGCCAAACAGGCGGGAGGCGAGCCCACTGCTGCGGGGGCTGCGGCTGGGACGGCGGCTGCTGCTGGGACGGCGGCTGGGGCTGCTGCTCCTGACCACCAATGCTAGTCCCCCCAGACGGACTACTCTCACGACCACCAGCACCACTACCTGCACCACCACCCCTGCCACCCTGGCGACCACGGCCACCGCGGCGCGAGCGCTGCTGCGGGTGGACCGCAGCAGCCGTCTCGGTGAGAGGGGTCGTCGTGGCGACCGCAGCCGAAACGTCAGTGAACGTGCACTGGGAGGGGGCACAGCCGTGAAAGATAGAGACTGCCGGCGCACCGCTCGACTAAGCGATAGTGCGCTGGCGAGTCTCGATCTCGGTGAGGGTGTCGACAAAGGCAGTGAGAGTGAGGTCAGCCGGGTGCAGGCTAAGGAAGTGATCGCGAGCACTAGCGAGGCGGTCTGGCAGGCGCATGGCAATAAAATAGAGCGTCATGCAGAAGGGGGGGGGGAGCGCAGTGAGCTGGGCAGCAGTGCGATAGCGGGTCTCTAGAGCACGCAGGTGAGTGGCAAAGTCTGCGACGGTAGGGAAAGCTGCAAGGTCTGGGAAAAGCATAGGGAAGAGCAGGCGACCAGCAGAAGCAGACGCGGGTGTGGAATAGCGGGCAATAACAGCGTCTAAGTAAGCATTGGCCGTCTCAATAGTAGCAAAACGCGAGCGCTCAGAGACAGGAAGGGCATGTCTAATGGCTACCTGAGCGACTGCATCGCGGGAGTCCCAGACCGCACGGGCAAGCGCAGCAGTAGAGAAGGTCTCACGGTCATCAGAGGAGGGATCAGCAGGGAGGGGGGCAGGTACAGAGGGGCGGGGGAGCAAGCCGTCAACATGGACAACCAAAGAGTGGCCATCCTGACGCTGACCTGTGAGGTGGCGGCGGAGATCGGAGAGCCAGGCGGCGAAGTCAACCGCATGGCCCTCGGCGTCCAGTCGGAGCACGAAGTCCGCCATCGTGCAGGGTCAGCGGCACAGCTCTACAGGAACTCAGCTACAGCCCCCTCCAGCACAGTGGCCACGAAGCGCCTCAGCACGGGCGAGCGGAGGAGACGGAGCCCGAGGCGGCACAGCAGGACGAGCCGGGGCGAAAGGGCCAGGCAGGGACGGTGGGGCCAGGCAGGTACGGCAGGGCCAGGCAGGCGCGGCGGGCCAGTCAGGGGCGGTGGGGCCAGGAGGCACGGCGGGGCCAGAAGGCGCGGCGGGGCCAGGCAGGTGCGGTGGGGCCAGGTAGGCGCGGCAGGGCCAGGCAGGCGTGGCAGGCCAGCCAGGGGCGGCGGGGCCAGGAGGCGCGGCAGGGCCAGGCAGGCGCGGCGGGGCCAGGCAGTGCGGCGGGGCCAGGCAGGCGCGGCGGGGCCAGGCAGGCGCGGCGGGGCCAGAAGGCGCGGCGGGGCCAGGCAGGTGCGGCGGGGCCAGGCAGTGCGGCAGGGCCAGGCAGGCGCGGCGGGGCCAGAAGGCGCGGCGGGGCCAGGCAGGTGCAGCGGGGCCAGGCAGGCGCGGCAGGGCCAGGCAGGCGCGGCGGGCCAGTCAGGGGCGTCGGGGCCAGGAGGCGCGGCAGGGCCAGGCAGGCGCGGCGGGGCCAGAAGGCATGGCGGGGCCAAGCAGGTGCGGCGGGGCCAGGCAGGCGCGGCAGGGCCTGGCAGGTGCGGCGGGCCAGTCAGGGGCGGCGGGGCCAGGAGGCACGGCAGGGCCGGGCAGGCGCGGTGGGGCCGGGCAGGCGCGGCAAGGGCCCAGGAGGGGCGCAACGGGCTAGGAGGCGCGAGAGGGGCCCAGGAGGGGCGTGACGGGCTAGGTGGCGCGCCAGGGGCCCAGGAGGGGCGCGACGGGCTAGGAGGCGCGAGTGGGGCCCAGGAGGGGCGTGACGGGCTAGGAGGCGCAATAGGGGCCCAGGAGGGGCGCGACGGGCTAGGAGGCGCGACAGGGGCCTAGGAGGGGCGCGACGGGCTAGGAGGCGCGAGTGGGGCCCAGGAGGGGCGCGACGGTCTAGGAGGCTCAATAGGGGCCCAGGAGGGGCGCGACGGGCTAGGAGGCGCGGCAGGGGCCCAGGAGGGGCGCGACGGGCTAGGAGGCGCGACAGGGGCCCAGGAGGGGCGCGACGGGCTAGGAGGCGCGAGTGGGGCCCAGGAGGGGCGCGACGGGCTAGGAGGCGCGGCAGGGGCCCAGGAGGGGCGCGGCGGGCTAGGAGGTGCGGCAGGGGCCCAGGAGGGGCGCTACGGGGCCTAGGTGGGGGCGGCGCGACGGGGCCTAGGTGAAAGCGCGACGGGGCCTAGGAGGAACGGGCGGAAGCGGTAGGTGGGGGGGGGGGGTCGAACCTACGGGTGATACCATATCAAAAGAGAACTGAATGATTGCATAGAGGGAGAGAACAAGGGTATATACCTAAGAGTGTTGTACCCTCTAAGAGGTGACCCTATACAGTCTATACAAATATGAGTTATACATATATTTGACATTTGGTTCTCTGGAGTAGCATCCCTCATTGATGACCCCAGTATGACATGGCACACACTAGACATTGAAATTGTATTTTTAGCGGTGCAGTGCGGTCTCTAAAACTTTAGAAACGGTGAAACGCGTCTCTGCACTAACATGGGCAGAAGCGCAGCTCGGGGTGAGTTGATGTCCCTAGTGCTGGAGGCACACCCATGCACCCCCTCACCATGGCATTCGTTCGTCCCACCCTAGTCTGCACTTGCTCGCCGTACGAATCATCTCCTAAACCCAGCATCCCACTCGGGACACGCCATAGTCGAAGCAGCCCTTCCCGCTGCTCCCGAACGCCCGTTTTTGGCGAGTTCGTCGTTGTCCCAACATAACTGCGGATTCTTGCGCAACTCACCAGTCGTGCTGCACGCGTCGTGAAGAGCGCAGCAGCAGACCCGGCAGTAGGATGTCAGCACAAGAGCAGCGTGTTTGCCTTAGCGGTCCGCATGTGATTCAGTGGGCATTGGAGACGCCGAGTGGATCGTGGATTCCTCTGTGCGGCATGCCAGCAGCCTCAGCCTCATCTGGGCCGCGTCCACTGGTAGCGCCTCAGCTTCTGCTTGCGCCCGCCGCTTCTGCGGCCTCCACCGCGGCTTCTCCTAGCTCTCATTTTATTTTACCACCTTCCGCCTCTGCCGCTCCTGCTGCCCCTGCTGCTGCCTCTGCCGCTGCTGCTCCGGGGCAGTTAAGGTTGTAGTTAGGGTTGCAGTTAGGGTTGTTCCTCTGGTTCTAATGCGCACTACGCAACCTGACGCCGCTCCTGGCTGTAATCATTACCGTCCGTCCGATGGCCCATCCCCGCCTGCCGCTGCCATGCCCGCTCGTTCCAGTGCCCCACGCGCTTCTGCGTCAGGCCGCCTAGTCGACTGCTCCAAGTGGGACAACCTGGCGCCTAGCAGCGATGACGAGGAGGCACGAGGGAGAGAGAAAGGAGGGCGAGAGGAAGGAGGGCGAGAGGAAGGAGGGCGAGAGGAGTGGAGAGAGGGGGGAGCAGGGGGGAAGAAAGCCAGAGCAAGAACCGCAGCGACAGAGGCATGAACAAAACAAGCGACACAAAAAGAAGCAGAAGCGGAAAGAGAAGGCGGGTGGGCAAGGGAGAGAATCCCTATGCAGTGGTTGCTTTCATGAACTACTCAGCTTCCGGGGGGAGGTAGCTCTCGGCATCCCAACTGCCAACTAATTCCGCCGCCACTTGCTTAAGCAACTGCCAAAGTGCACAGCAGCGAGATCATGTGCAGATGTGTCTCTGGAAGCGAGAGAGTGCAGACATACATCAGTTGAGGAAGCACCGGAGGCCGCATCCGGGAAGGGGGGCCAGTTTTAAACGTAGAAATTGTTTGCGGCAGATGGGGCAGCAGCAGTGGGAGCAGCAGCCGGGGAGAGTATCAAAAGGGAGTGCGAGTGTGCGTATTGCAGTAGCACCGAGGCAATGTTTCTGGAGTGGACGGCAGAGCTGCGTGTGGGCATTTTCGAGTCGACTCAAAAATCATCGAGAGGATCAGATCCGGCCTGCCAGTTTGCGCTGCTCATACTCCATCTGGTTCCGCTGCTGTGACCCCTGCTGCTTCAAATGCTGTTGTTGGCAGTCGGTGGCACTGCCACAGATGCTAATGTGGGTTCCCGCAGCTGACGCAGGAACCTTGGAGCAAGCAGGATCAATGGAGCTGGCTCAGACCCCGCCACACGAAACAGTAGCGTCCACCATAGCTAGCAGCAATGGAGAAAGCAGCAGCAGCAGCAGCAGCAGCAGCGGCGGCGGCGGCGGCGGCAGCGGCGGCAGCGGCAGCGGCAGCCACGGTACCCAGCCGTCCTCCTCATTTCTGCCCATCTCCACCTCAGCCCCAATATCCTGGCAATGCTACTGGCGCTGCAGCAGTTGCTGGGGCGCCTACCTCTGTGCTGTAGCCATCTCTGCCTTCCGTGCGCTCTCCCCGCGTTGTGACTCGTCAGAGGGTCCAGCTTGTCTCCCTTACAAGCCTTTTCGCTGCTATTGTGGAGGTGTTAGGGGCGGGAAGGCAGGAGGAGAAGGACAGTGTGGTGTCGGTGCTGGTGCAGGTGCTGGGGGTGAAAGACGGGGAGGAGATTGAGAACGGCTTCAAAGCCCATGTGATGCCTCTGTTGCCTGGTGGGGCAGAGAGGCAGTTTGGAGGGAAGAGTGAGGGAGTCTATTTTTGAGGCGCCTAAAAACTAGACTCCTCTCGCTGGGAAGTGAGGGGGAAAGGGCGTTAGTGGGAAGAATGGGAAGAGAGGCGGGAAGGGGAAGGATGGAAGTCGTGGGGGTGTTGCGATCCGTTTCGAGGAACACTCGTGGATGTCGCAGCATTGATAGACGGTAGTGGCGGTGGTGGCGTTGTCGCTACTCTTGCTGCTGGTGACTCTCCTGCTGTTGCGGCTACTGCCGCTGAAACGGCTGCTGCTAGTGGCAATGCTAGTGTAAGTGACAGGAGCAGTGATGGGAGCATCAGCACCAACAGAAGCGCCCAGGAGAGGCGTCTGCCCTCGTCCACAGCACCCCTGCCATTTCTCCTGTCTGCCAGGAGGGGGTCCAGATGTGAATGGCCGAGAGATGTGAAGGAAGGGGATGGAAGGAGATGGATGGGGATGGAAGGGGATGGAAGGGGATGGAAGGGGATGGAAGGGGATGGAAGGGGATGGAAGGGGATGGAAGGGGATGGAAGGGGATGGAAGGGGATGGAAGGGGATGGAAGGGGATGGAAGGGGATGGAAGGGGATGGAAGGGGATGGAAGGGGATGGAAGGGGATGGAAGGGGATGGATGGGGATGGAAGGGGATGGATGGTGCGGGTGAAGGGCGGTGCAGGAGCGGATTTGGGGGTAGGGATCGGAATAGAGGACAGTAGGGGAGTTATGGAGGGGCGGACGGTTGAAGGGGTAGCAGGGGTGGGGGAGTGGAGGTATGGGCGAGAGGCTGTGCAGGCAGATATGGCCATGCAAGCAACAAAGGAGGTGCTGCCACGTGTCAAGCAGGCATTGGTGCAGATGCGAGCCGGTAATGGAGATGGAGATGGTGCATGGGTGCAGTGTGTGGTGCAGCATGAGAGGGTGTGTGGCTGCTGGGTGGCGGCTGATGGGGAGAACCCTTCCAACAAAACGGTGAGCTCAACCCGCGGAGTGTGTGCTGTGACTATGCATCGCGCAGGTGGCGTTTCCAGTGGCGTTTCATGGCGGGTGGGAAGATGGGTATGTGCCGTGCTTGCACAGTGTGGTGCAGCACGGGAGGGTTTGTGGCGGCTGGGAGATGGTTGATAGAACACGCTTAATGAGATGGTGCACTGTGGGATGGTGCACTGTGGGATGGTGCACTGTGTGTGGGATGGTGCCCTGTGGGTTGGTGCACTGTGTGTGGGATGGTGCACTATGGGTTGGTGCACTGTGTGTGTAATGGTGCACTGTGGGATGGTGCACTGTGTGTGGGATGGTGCACTGTGGGTTGGTGCACTGTGTGTGGGATGGTGCACTGTGGGTTGGTGCACTGTGTGTGTGATGGTGCACTGTGGGTTGGTGCACTGTGTGTGGGATGGTGCACTGTGTGTGTGATGGTGCATTGTGGGTTGGTGCACTGTGTGTGGGATGGTGCACTGTGGGTTGGTGCACTGTGGGTTGGTGCACTGTGTGTGTGATGGTGCACTGTGGGTTGGTGCACTGTGTGTGGGATGGTGCACTGTGGGATGGTGCACTGTGTGTGGGATGGTGCGCTGTGTGATGGTGCACTATGGGTTGGTGCACTGTGTGTGTAATGGTGCACTGTGGGATGGTGCACTGTGTGTGGGATGGTGCACTGTGTGTGGGATGGTGCACTGTGGGTTGGTGCACTGTGTGTGTGATGGTGCACTGTGGGTTGGTGCACTGTGTGTGGGATGGTGCACTGTGTGTGTGATGGTGCATTGTGGGTTGGTGCACTGTGTGTGGGATGGTGCACTGTGGGTTGGTGCACTGTGTGTGTGATGGTGCACTGTGGGTTGGTGCACTGTGTGTGGGATGGTGCACTGTGGGATGGTGCACTGTGTGTGTGATGGTGCACTGTGGGTTGGTGCACTGTGTGTGGGATGGTGCACTGTGGGTTGGTGCACTGTGTGTGTGATGGTGCACTGTGGGATGGTGCACTGTGTGTGGGATGGTGCACTGTGGGTTGGTGCACTGTGTGTGGGATGGTGCACTGTGGGTTGGTGCACTGTGTGTGGGATGGTGCACTGTGGGATGGTGCACTGTGTGTGTGATGGTGCATTGTGGGTTGGTGCACAGTGTGTGGGATGGTGCGCTGTGTGATGGTGCACTATGGGTTGGTGCACTGTGTGTGTAATGGTGCACTGTGTGTGGGATGGTGCACTGTGGGTTGGTGCACTGTGTGTGGGATGGTGCACTGTGGGATGGTGCACTGTGTGTGGGATGGTGCACTGTGGGTTGGTGCACTGTGTGTGTGATGGTGCACTGTGGGTTGGTGCACTGTGTGTGGGATGGTGCACTGTGGGATGGTGCACTGTGTGTGTGATGGTGCATTGTGGGTTGGTGCACTGTGTGTGGGATGGTGCACTGTGGGTTGGTGCACTGTGTGTGTGATGGTGCACTGTGGGTTGGTGCACTGTGTGTGGGATGGTGCACTGTGGGATGGTGCACTGTGTGTGGGATGGTGCACTGTGGGTTGGTGCACTGTGTGTGGGATGGTGCACTGTGTGTGGGATGGTGCACTGTGTGTGTGATGGTGCATTGTGGGTTGGTGCACTGTGTGTGGGATGGTGCACTGTGGGTTGGTGCACTGTGTGTGTGATGGTGCACTGTGGGTTGGTGCACTGTGTGTGGGATGGTGCACTGTGGGTTGGTGCACTGTGTGTGGGATGGTGCACTGTGGGTTGGTGCACTGTGTGTGTGATGGTGCACTGTGGGATGGTGCACTGTGTGTGTGATGGTGCATTGTGGGTTGGTGCACTGTGTGTGTGATGGTGCACTGTGGGTTGGTGCACTGTGTGTGGGATGGTGCACTGTGGGTTGGTGCACTGTGTGTGTGATGGTGCACTGTAGGTTGGTGCACTGTGTGTGTGATGGTGCACTGTGGGTTGGTGCATTGTGTGTGTGATGGTGCGTTGTGGGTTGGTGCGCTGTGGGATGGTGCACTGTGTGTGTGATGGTGCACTGTGGGTTGGTGCACTGTGTGTGGGATGGTGCACTGTGGGTTGGTGCACTGTGTGTTAGGGATGGGCAGGGGGCGAGTCGAGTAAAACTTGCCTCGAGTAATTATGACTCGCCTCCCTTAATTGGCGAGTCGAGCAATACTTGAGTCGAGCTTTTTTCTCAAGGGCCCGACTCGTTTACTCGTTTTTTAGACGAGTAAAATTTTTACTCGGGGCGAGTAGTTTTTACTCGCCCTGAGGCAAGCATTACTCGACTCGGGCCATTGTTCCCCACTTCCCTTTCTCTCACATTCTGGGAGGGGTGCTTTTAGGGGGCCAGAGTTGTAAGTCCAGCTGTGCATTGCCATGCAATGCACGTTTTGAGTGTGAACAAGGGCAATGAGGTTGTGACAGGTGCCTATAACCTTTTTTGCAAAGGTCTGCCCTTGAGGTTGGTGTCCAATCACCACGTCCCGTGACCACCACGTGCTGGCAGGTTGGGTCAGGTGCTGCAGAAGGGAAGAGCCTTCTCCGTTCCATGTGTGCACTAGATCAATAATTGCAGCAACCAACAAAGACAGTTGCACATTTGTTATGATAAGTTGACGCTGTCACGGGGGTATAAATAACCAACAAAGACAGTCACTGATCAAGTCAGGGAGAGAGATGACATCGAGGGCAAGCAAGGGCTTGTCAAGTGTCGGGGCAAGGGCAAGGCAAGGGCAGCCAGCCAGCCAGGCAAGCAAGTCCCCGACGTCGCCTCTATCACATCCCCTCCTCCACCTCCACCCCCAAGTCCTCCACCTCCTCATCCCCAGTGACCGGCGCGTCGGCGAGCCGCTCGCCGGGGTGCGACGCAATCCATGACTTCAAAGTCATGCAGGCGCGCACACGCTCGGCCCCAAGCCGATGCCGCTTCCATGTGATAAGGTTGCGGCTCTGAGAGAAGACTCTCTCGCTTGCCGCCGACGTAGCGGGGATGGCAAGGTAATCCCTGGCCATCGCCTGCAGTCCGGGAAGGTCCGACCTGCGGCGCCAGTAGGCAAGCGGCGATGCCCAGATCGGCTCCAGCGGCTCATCCACATACAGCTGTATCTCGTCCTTGACCTGGGAGGATTGCTGGCTGCGGAGCTGTGTGAGCTGGGCAACCAAACTGTCACCGTCGTCATCATCTCCCCCGAACGCTGAGCCGAAACGGCCGGGGACATCGTCACTTCCATCCCCTCCCATCCTCCCCATCCCACCACCCCTCACGACCTCAGCGTTCCCCGCTGCCTCACGGACCTTGATCATGTAGGGCAGCCACTTACCGCGCACCAGATCTAGCACATCAGCCTCCTGCACCTGGTCAACAACAGAGGTGACGAGGGAGCCACGCGGGAGGCTGAAGTAGCCCAGCTTCATGGACGGGTCCAGAAACGTCGCGATGCAGAGCTCATCGCTACTGCTGCAGTAGTACTCCTGCAGTTTGGGCAGAGCCGCACCGATGCACGCAGTGATGAGGGGGGGGGGGGGTTCGCGGGGTCCTGCTGCAGCTTGTCCAACCTGCCCATGAGTTCGTTGAACTGCGGCACCACCCGGCTGACGGTAGGATACTGGGACCCTTCGGCGGCCAGAGTGACGGCGTTGAATGGCTTGAGGAAAGCAGCGAGTACCTCAAGCGTCCGCCACTGCTCAGGGCTGAGGCGTAGTTCCGCAAGGCGCCTCGTCTCGCGGGTAGTGGACTGCGGGGCGGGGTGTGTCATGCAATTGGCGGGGGCGGGGTGGGCGCCAATGTGGCGATCCAATGGAGTGTGTCACACTTGTGGGGTTGCGCGTATGGCTGCATGTATGGCGGCATGTATGGGTGCATGTATGGCTGCGTGTACAGCTGCGTGTACGGCTTCATACGGCTACATGTATGGCATCTGAAAAGGCCGGCGGGGGCCAGCGTCACACTTGCTTAAGAACAGCAAATGCACCGCGAAGGAAGGCTAGTTAACTTGCCCAATGGGGAGGAGGCTCACCCCAACGGCGCGGCGGAAGAAGGCATCCAGTGCCTCTCGGAGACGAAGGCCACGTGTGATCATGTTGAAGGTCGACCCCCAACGCACATCCATGTCCTGTCGTAGCTTAAGGACCGGCTGTGTAGGATATTGTCGGCGCTGCTCCTCCTCGAACTGCAGCACCTTCTGGGGCCTGAACCCGATGAAGGTCGCGCATTCGCGCAGAATGCCTAGCGGTTCCTTCACCTCCTCAACCCCCCGCAATACCTGCTGCACTGCAAGATTGCAGATGTGCGCGAGGCAACTGGGGAGGGAGTGGAGGAAGAGAGGGGGAATGGAATCTGGCCGGCTAAGGGCCGGGACCATGTGCTTATTGGTACCCGAGCACGTGGCAGCAGATGGGATTATGTAGGGCAGCATGGCTTAAAACCTTACCGGATGTGCAGGCCAGTGCTGAATAGGCGAGGAAACCTGTCGCCAG